ACAAAATCAGAGGTCAAACCAAATTAATTCAAATACAAAATCAGAGGTCAAACCAAATTAATTCAAATACAAAATCAGAGGTCAAACCAAATTAATTCAAATACAAAATCAGAGGTCACACAAATTAATTCAAATACAAAATCAGAGGTCAAACCAAATTAATTCAAATACAAAATCAGAGGTCAAACCAAATTAATTCAAATACAAAATCAGAGGTCAAACCAAATTAATTCAAATACAAAATCAGAGGTCAAACCAAATTAATTCAAATACAAAATTCAAACCAAATTTTCAAATACAAAATCAGAGGTCAAACCAAATTAATTCAAATACAAAATCAGAGGTCAAACCAAATTAATTCAAATACAAAATCAGAGGTCAAACCAAATTAATTCAAATACAAAATCAGAGGTCAAACCAAATTAATTCAAATACAAAATCAGAGGTCAAACCAAATTAATTCAAATACAAAATCAGAGGTCAAACCAAATTAATTCAAATACAAAATCAGAGGTCAAACCAAATTAATTCAAATACAAAATCAGAGGTCAAACCAAATTAATTCAAATACAAAATCAGAGGTCAAACCAAATTAATTCAAATACAAAATCAGAGGTCAAACCAAATTAATTCAAATACAAAATCAGAGGTCAAACCAAATTAATTCAAATACAAAATCAGAGGTCAAACCAAATTTTTTCAAATACAAAATCAGAGGTCAAACCAAATTAATTCAAATACAAAATCAGAGGTCAAACCAAATTAATTCAAATACAAAATCAGAGGTCAAACCAAATTAATTCAAATACAAAATCAGAGGACAAACCAAATTTTTTCAAATACAAAATTAGAGGTCAAACCAAATTAATTCAAATACAAAATCAAAAACCAAATTAATTCAAATACAAAATCAGAGGTCAAACCAAATTAATTTCAAATACAAAATCAGAGGTCAAACCAAATTAATTCAAATACAAAATCAGAGGTCAAACCAAATTAATTCAAATACAAAATCAGAGGTCAAACCAAATTAATTCAAATACAAAATCAGAGGTCAAACCAAATTAATTCAAATACAAAATCAGAGGTCAAACCAAATTAATTCAAATACAAAATCAGAGGTCAAACCAAATTTTCAAATACAAAATCAGAGGTCAAACCAAATTAATTCAAATACAAAATCAGAGGTCAAACCAAATTAATTCAAATACAAAATCAGAGGTCAAACCAAATTAATTCAAATACAAAATCAGAGGTCAAACCAAATTAATTCAAATACAAAATCAGAGGTCAAACCAAATTAATTCAAATACAAAATCAGAGGTCAAACCAAATTAATTCAGAATTAATTCAAATACAAAATCAGAGGTCAAACCAAATTAATTCAAATACAAAATCAGAGGTCAAACCAAATTAATTCAAATACAAAATCAAAAACCAAATACAAAACAAAATCAGAGGTCAAACCAAATTAATTCAAATACAAAATCAGAGGTCAAACCAAATTAATTCAAATACAAAATCAGAGGTCAAACCAAATTAATTCAAATACAAAATCAGAGGTCAAACCAAATTAATTCAAATACAAAATCAGAGGTTAATTCAAATACAAAATCAGAGGTCAAATTAATTCAAATACAAAATCAGAGGTCAAACCAAATTAATTCAAATACAAAATCAGAGGTCAAACCAAATTAATTCAAATACAAAATCAGAGGTCAAACCAAATTAATTCAAATACAAAATCAGAGGTCAAATACAAAATCAGAGGTCAAACCAAATTAATTCAAATACAAAATCAGAGGTCAAACCAAATTAATTTACAAAATCAAATACAAAATCAGAGGTCAAACCAAATTAATTCAAATACAAAATCAGAGGTCAAACCAAATTAATTCAAATACAAAATCAGAGGTCAAACCAAATTAATTCAAATACAAAATCAGAGGTCAAACCAAATTAATTCAAATACAAAATCAGAGGTCAAACCAAATTAATTCAAATACAAAATACAAAAAATTAATTCAAATACAAAATCAGAGGTCAAACCAAATTAATTCAAATACAAAATACAAAATTAATTCAAATACAAAATCAGAGGTCAAACCAAATTAATTCAAATACAAAATCAGAGGTTTAATTTTCAAATACAAAATCAGAGGTCAAACCAAATTAATTCAAATACAAAATCAGAGGTCAAACCAAATTAATTCAAATACAAAATCAGAGGTCAAACCAAATTTTTTCAAATACAAAATCAGAGGTCAAACCAAATTAATTCAAATACAAAATCAGAGGTCAAACCAAATTAATTCAAATACAAAATCAGAGGTCAAACCAAATTTTTACAAAATCAATTCAGAGGTCAAACCAAATTTTTTCAAATACAAAATAGAGGTCAAACCAAATTAATTCAAATACAAAATCAGAGGTCAAACCAAATTAATTCAAATACAAAATCAGAGGTCAAACCAAATTAATTCAAATACAAAATCAGAGGTCAAACCAAATTAATTCAAATACAAAATCAGAGGTCAAACCAAATTAATTCAAATACAAAATCAGAGGTCAAACCAAATTAGAGGTTTAAAATACAAAATCAGAGGTCAAACCAAATTAATTCAAATACAAAATAGAGGTTTAATTCAAATACAAAATCAGAGGTCAAACCAAATTAATTCAAATACAAAATCAGAGGTCAAACCAAATTAATTCAAATACAAAATCAGAGGTCAAACCAAATTAATTCAAATACAAAATTCAAACCAAATTAATTCAAATACAAAATCAGAGGTCAAACCAAATTAATTCAAATACAAAATCAGAGGTCAAACCAAATTAATTCAAATACAAAATCAGAGGTCAAACCAAATTAATTCAAATACAAAATCAGAGGTCAAACCAAATTAATTCAAATACAAAATCAGAGGTCAAACCAAATTAATTCAAATACAAAATCAGAGGTCAAACCAAATTAATTCAAATACAAAATCAGAGGTCAAACCAAATTAATTCAAATACAAAATCAGAGGTCAAACCAAATTAATTCAAATACAAAATCAAGGTCAAACCAAATTAATTCAAATACAAAATCAGAGGTCAAACCAAATTAATTCAAATACAAAATCAGAGGTCAAAAATTTTTTCCAAATTTTTTCAAATACAAAATCAGAGGTCAAACCAAATTAATTCAAATACAAAATCAGAGGTCAAACCAAATTTTTTCAAAATACAAAAAATTAATTCAAATACAAAATCAGAGGTCAAACCAAATTAATTCAAATACAAAATCAGAGGTCAAACCAAATTAATTCAAATACAAAATCAGAGGTCAAACCAAATTTTTCAAATACAAAATCAGAGGTTTAATTCAAATACAAAATCAGAGGTCAAACCAAATTAATTCAAATACAAAATCAGAGGTCAAACCAAATTAATTCAAATACAAAATCAGAGGTCAAACCAAATTAATTCAAATACAAAATCAGAGGTCAAACCAAATTAATTCAAATACAAAATCAGAGGTCAAACCAAATTAATTCAAATACAAAATCAGAGGTCAAACCAAATTTTTTCAAATACAAAATCAGAGGTCAAACCAAATTAATTCAAATACAAAATCAGAGGTCAAACCAAATTTTTTCAAATACAAAATCAGAGGTCAAACCAAATTTATTCAAATACAAAATCAGAGGTCAAACCAAATTTTTTCAAATACAAAATTAGAGGTCAAACCAAATTTATTCAAATACAAAATCAGAGGTCAAACCAAATTTTTTCAAATACAAAATTAGAGGTCAAACCAAATTAATTCAAATACAAAATCAGAGGTCAAACCAAATTAATTCAAATACAAAATCAGAGGTCTAACCAAATTAATTCAAATACAAAATCAGAGGTCAAACCAAATTTTTTCAAATACAAAATTAGAGGTCAAACCAAATTAATACAAATACAAAATTAGAGGTCAAACCAAATTTATTCAAATACAAAATCAGAGGTCAAACCAAATTAATTCAAATACAAAATAAGAGGTCAAACCAAATTAATTCAAATACAAAATCAGAGGTCAAACCAAATTATTTCAAATACAAAATCAGAGGTCAAACCAAATTAATTCAAATACAAAATCAGAGGTCAAACCAAATTTTTTCAAATACAAAATCAGAGGTCTAACCAAATTTTTTCAAATACAAAATCAGAGGTCAAACCAAATTTTTTCAAATACAAAATTAGAGGTCAAACCAAATTAATACAAATACAAAATTAGAGGTCAAACCAAATTAATTCAAATACAAAATCAGAGGTCAAACCAAATTTTTTCAAATACAAAGTTAGAGGTCAAACCAAATTAATTCAAATACAAAATCAGAGGTCAAACCAAATTTTTTCAAATACAAAATCAGAGGTCTAACCAAATTAATTCAAATACAAAATCAGAGGTCAAACCAAATTAATTCAAATACAAAATCAGAGGTCAAACCAAATTAATTCAAATACAAAATCAGAGGTCAAACCAAATTTTTTCAAATACAAAATCAGAGGAATCAGAGATTGTTTGAATACAATCATTGAAAAAATTTTAGCTATTTTTTTTAATCAAAAGAGTACTTTTTATTTTATTTATTTTGTTTTTATTTGCTTTTTTCGATTAAAAATTATTTTAATTTTATTTTTTAAAAAAATAATAAATAAATACATTTATAGTTAACACCATCTGCTTATAAGAAACATTGTAATGGATATTATAAAAATGTCTATCAATTAATTATAATAATTGGTATTAATATTATTTTATAAATTTTAATTTTTTATATTTTACTAGTTCTAGTACAGTAAGATATTAATTATCTATTAAATATAAAATACTAAATAATTAAATATTTGTACATTTATTAGATGTGTGTTTAAATAAAAAAATGTTTTAATAAAATTTAATTAAACATTTGAATCAATTGTTTTTTTCTTGTAAATCTATGTTTTCTATATATTTGTTAGCAATGATTAGTTTAACTATATTTTCAGTAATAATAATAATAATTATTTATTTCTATTATAAACTTAAAAACCTTTACCGCGACCGATGTTTGTCAACAATTCCCGGACCCCGACATCGATACCCGTTTATCGGTAATTTAGATCTGTTTCGTATACCTGGTGTTCCTCGTAATGAAAGTTAGTTTCATTTTATTTATTTTTTTGTATTGTTTTAAAACTTATTTTTTCATTTACTTAATAATAGTTTTTTTTTATTAACTAATATTCTAATAGTAATAATTAATTCTTAATTAAATAAAATAGTATTTACTTTAATTAAATTTTTTAAGTTTAATTAATTTATAAAAAAAAGTAATAATTTTTTTTTTTATTATAATTTATAGTCATTTATAAAATATTATTATCGTTATGCAATCAATACAACAAATATGGTATTTATAAGATATTTTTGGGACCGAAACCAGTGGTTGTTATATTCAAATCAAAATTAATGAATGTATGTATGAATTGTAATAATAATAATAATTAATAGTAATACTTAATAATAATGTTATTAACTATTTTTTTTAATATAAATTATTTGATATATAATGTAATAATTTAATATTTTTTATTTTATTTTTTTTTTATATACAATTGTAAATATAATTAAAAAATTTAAGACAATATTTTCAAGTCATGTCAATATTGAAAAGTCATATATTTATAAATTTCTGAGCGTCTTATGTCTGGATGGCTTAGCCATGAGTACCGGTTCGAAATGGAAAGGTAGACGCAAACTGTTGACACCGGCCTTTCATTTCAAAATACTAAACAATTTTATACCCATAATGAATGAACAGACAAATATATTTATGGATAAAATACGTAATCAATTGGCAATTGATAGACAATCCGTGATTGATATCCGAGAACCGATAACATTGTTAACATTGGATATTATTTGCGGTAAAAAAAAATTATTTTTTTTAAATCAATTTTAATACTAATAATTATACACACAATTATAGAGACTGCAATGGGCGTACAGGTTGGGGCACAGGTAGGCAATAATAGGTCATACATTGGGGCCGTACATGATTTTGAACAAATGTTTATGAAACGTATATTTTCGCCGTGGCTTTGGTCGGATCGACTGTTTTATTGGACACCAATGGGCCGTAAATTTAGTGAATCGCTGGATACGCTTCACTCGTTTACCCGCAATGTTATCAATCAAAAGAAACAACAGTTACTTATCGTTAATAATAATAATAACGACACAAAAAGTTTGGATTCAAACGATAATAATAATGATAACTATTTTATGAATAAGAAAAAGAAGAAAAGTATGGCATTTATGGATCTATTACTTGATTATCATCTGAAGGACAATCACCAGTTGTTGTTTACTGTGGAGGACATCAACGAAGAAGTTAATATGTTTATGTATGCCGGACACGACACCATTGCCGTCAGTCTCGGTTGGACACTGTATTTGATTGGTTTGCATCCAAGAGTACAGGACAAGATCGAGGACGAGTTGACCACAATTTTCGGATCAGCCGACGACCACCAAAACAACATCAATAGAGACATCACATCCGAAGATATTCAACGTATGTCTTATTTGGATTGTGTACTAAAAGAATCGTTACGTATGTATCCGTCGGCACCGTTTGTTGCCCGACGTTTGGTCGAAGAGTGTGTGGTCAGCGGTGATGATGGCGATGATGATTATGTCATACCTGCCGGTGTCGATGTCTTTATAATGATCAGACAAATGCATTACGACTCGGATGTCTTCGCCAAACCCGACCATTTCATACCCGAACGCTTTCAATGCGAGTCCAGTCAAATAAATGCCTACAATTATATACCGTTTAGTGCCGGTCCGCGCAATTGTATCGGTAAACGGTTTGCCGTAATTGAAGAGATGATAGTATTGTCGAAAATTTTGCTAAATTTTACAATTGAATCAATGGAACCGTTAGATAGTGTCCAGACGGCCGCCGAAATCGTTTATTGCGCTAAAAGTCCGCTAAATATTAGATTTATACCAAAAAATTTATAGATTTAATAAAAAAAATTATAAATAAATTTTTTTTTATTATATTAATATATTTTTTATATTAATAATTAGTAAACATTTTTTACCGTAATTACTAAATTAAATATTAGTATTGATATATTTACTATTTTTTTACAATCAATTAATAACTGATAATTATATTATCGATTAATATTAGTACCAAAAAAAATATATACAAATCATATAAAATCTAATTTAACAAAAAAAATAAAATAAATTAATTATAAAAAAAAATAAAAGCTATCTATAATTAACTCAAATGTTTAACAACTTTATCAGCGATTTTTTTAACTTAAATAAAAAACACAAAAATCGATTAAAATATAGAAATAATAAATAATATTAAAACAAGTTATTTATTTTGATTTTTATTTTATTTCATATTTAGAAAACATCATTAATAATAATAATAATAATAAGTAATACATTCAATATTTTTTTTCATCAATAATAATATTAATTATTATAAACATATCTTCAATAATATATATATATATATCGTACGGATTAACACTACATTCAAATTGAGTGATAAATTAATTTAAATTATAATTTAAAGGGAAAAAAACAAACAAATAAATTGTGGGAAAAAACAATTATTCAAGCAATCAATCAATCAATTACTACACTAATTGTCTTAATTAATAATAACTTAATAATAATAATAATAATGTTTTAGACAAAATAATTTTGAAACTTATTAATTGATTTGTTTGTTTGTTTGTTGAATAATTATCATATAACTAGTAATATATATATATATAATATATATATCAATATACATATATAATATTTTTTTTTGATTATTTAAATTTTATCAAATTAAAAAACAATTTCAATTTTTTATATATATATATATATTTTTTTTTTTTAAAAACCAATAGTACTGTAAATAGTTTGTTGTTTTTGACGTATATTTTTTTAAATATACAAAACAATAGTATATAACTGTGTGTTTGTAGTAATAATAATAATAATAATAGTTGTAATCAATTAATTAAATTTGTTTTTTTTTCTCTCATCAATAACAACTACTACTACTAGTACTGTATTACTTGAATACTGAAATACAATATTATTTAATAATAATAATAATAGCAATAATATTTAATATTAATTATAATCAATTCGTATGAATAGCTAATCATTAATTAATTATCTTTTTTTTAATAAAAAAAACATATTATTTTCATTATAATTGTAGTAATAATAATAATAAGTCATCTAAATATTTATCAATTTAAATATTGAATTGAAAAAAAACAATTTGTTTTGTTTAAAGTAGGAATAATAATAATAATAATAATAATAATAATAAACAAAAACAACGATTAAATATTTTTTTTTGTTTTTTTTGTTGAAAATATTATAATAGTTTTGTTTATCAAATGAAAACTCGACTCAAAAAAAAATAATTAGACATAAATCACAACAAAAAAAAATACATAAATCTATAAATCATTCATATATTTAAACAATCAATCGATCGATCAATCGATCCATTGATTCATCAAATCTATCACTCAATCAATTAATCAAACTCTTCAATAAAATCACTACTGTTTTGTGTATTTCTACGAATTGGCTGATCCGAGACAACAGCTGTTTCAACCAATCTTTCCCGTCGTCGGCGACCAGAGACGGCCGCAGTCGACGATGACGACGATGTTGTTGTTGTAGTCGTTGTCGACGGTGGCGAATCAGTTGTTGTTGTATCGCTGCGCGGCTGCGGAGACAACAGTTCTTCGATGGTGTCGTTGACATCCATACGATTCTTTGACAGTAATTCTTGATTTAGTTTTTGATTCCAGAATCCCATTTCGTATAACTGTTTCAAAGCATTGGCCATACGATTAGGTGCTCCCGATTGTTGTTGTTGTTGTTGCCGCTGCTGCTGTTGTTGTTGTTGTCGCGGTGCGGGTGCAGGCATCGGAATCGCTTGGCCACTGTTAGCCATGAATGTAGGTCCGGCTGGTGTAGCGCTCATGTATGTAGTCGATCCGTTTGGTGCAGCGCTCATAAAAGTCGAACCGTTCGGTGTAGCGCTCATGTAAGCGGTAGCAGTGGCCAAATTCGGATACATGGGTGCCATTGGATGCATATGCATCGGATGGTGGTGGTGGTGGTGTTGCGGTGGCGGCGGAGGTGGCGGCGGGTGTGGATTAAAGTGTGGGTGTATTGGTGGTGGAGGTGGTGGTGGTTGTGCAGTGTTCGGTGCCGACGACAAGTTCATCGGATGTTGGCCACCGATGCCACCACCACCAGTTGGTATGCCAGTAGTCGGATCGTACGACATCGGGTACTGATTAGTAGTGGTAGTAACAGAGGGGTTGGCGGTAGCGTGCGGTGGTCTAACCGTCCAAAAGTCGGGTAACGGTATGGCTGCCGGCGGCGGTGATGTTACCCACGCATAGTTTGTGCCCTAAAAGGTAAACAACAATAATAATATAATTTATAGTTTTATTTTTGCAATTAATTATTAATTAAAACAATTTCGCAACAAAATGATACCTCATTTCGTGAGAACAGTGCTCGGCTCACATTGTTATAGACGTGTGCGGCAGCCGATAGGGCACCGGTAACTATACTTTCGGGCAGAACATGGATTACATTCTCTGTTTCATTGGTATTGGTAGTAGTAGTAATGGTGCTGCTGGTGGTAGTGGTAGTAGAGCTGGTATTCTGGCCACTGTTGTTGTTGCTGTTCTGGCGAAACGGATTGGTAGATGTCTGGCCATTATTATTATTAATATTAGTTCGCGGTCTAAGCCGTGGCTGTTCATCAGCGACTATTGACGGCTCATTTGTATTCATGTTGTCCACAACAACAGCAGTACTACCGCTGATGGTCATAGTCGACGAATGGCCGGACGATGATGAAGACGATGACGACGATGTAGTCGTCGACTGATGGCTATTATCATTGTCTCTGTCTTTTGTCAAATCCAATGGCGACTCATTAGTCGCTGGTCGCGAATCTGCTGCGACAACTTCGGCCCTATTTTCTGCCGCCAACAGCGGAACTGTATCCGAATGACTGATCAGTTGAAGTTCTTCATTATCGTCGTCGTCGTCGTTGATGTTATTATTGCCAATCTTGTTGTCGACAATTTCAACAAATCTCCAATCATTAGTAGCAGTAGTAGTAGTAGTATTATTATCATCACTACTATTACCACTACTACCACCAGAAATGTCATCAACGACTTCATCTTTAGTGTCGTCATCAGCGGTCTCGTCGTCGTCGTCTTCTTCGAATGCCTTATTATCGACACCATTGTTGTTGTTGTTGTTGTTATTGAATGGTACGTTAAGATCGAAACAAGTGGGAAGCGGTACCAAAACAAACTCATCCATACTGTCATTCGAGCTAAGACTCAATACATCAACCGATTCGACATCCGATTCGCAATCGTCGTCAGGTTTTTCTTCAGTCGATTTACTATTACTATTATTATCATCGGTTTCGACGACAACAACAACAGCAGCTTTAGCCGCCGATACTTCCGATTTGTCCTTAGTATTGGCATCAGTTGCGGCCGCAGCCGCCGATTCAATTTGGTGTCCACTAAACGCATTATCAGCAACGGATGACTGTTGGGGTTCTGGCGATTTAGGTGGCGACACATTGAACGGTGTGTTGGCCGGTGTAGTCGTATGCGACTTGACATTCGGTTTGATGGGAATGGCGTCGCATTCGTCGTTATTATCCAAATCAAAGCGCAACTCTTTCACGGCGTGCAAGGCTTCCGATAGACGTTTTACCGAAGTTTTCTGTGCCGCTGCAGCAGCCGTTTTCTCGCTGTTTGTTTGCGCGGCGGCGGTGACAACAGTGGGTGTGGTCGCCGCTCCAGTTGTCAACTGCTTGGCCGTAGCCATAGCCCGAAGTTTATCACTGAGTTGTCGCTGAGATTCAATAATCGATTGGTGAATATTGGCAATTGAGTCAAAGTTACAGTTGGTTTCGCTTTGTAAGAACTGTTCGACAGTAGTAGTCGGCAGCAGCGGCGGCGGCTGATGATTATGATGACCACTACCACCACTCGATTTGGCCATTCGGACAGACATTTTCGGCGGCTGCGGTACTGAATTGACGCGCGATTGATGGCCGCTAGTTGTGGTTGTAGTCGTCGACGGGTCCTTTGCCGCCAGTATCGGTGCCAACGGTATCGGCAATGTTGGCAAATCACTGCTGGTCGGATCGACAATAACTTTGCATTCGAGACGCTGGCCAAACGGTTGGCCGCGATGATGCAGACGCCAATGACTCTGGTAGCGAGTCGGCTGTTTGGGATTGGGTGCCGTAAATCGTATGCTTACTTTACCCTCTTCGCCCGGTCTCAGGGGCGGCACCTGGACTTCGGTAATTGCACCGAACGGCTGAAGTTCGGTGTGTCCCCAAACAAATCGCAACGTAGTCCGACCGGTCCAGACTTTCGTTCCGGTATTGCGTACTTTCCATGTCTTTCGAAAGCGTGCATTCGGCGGCAGTTTAGTACCGTCGGGTATGGTCTCGTCTTCGACCAGTAGTCCACTTAAATACCTGTTTTTTATAATTCAAAGAATAATATTTGAAACAAATTTATAGACAGACCACCAAAAAAAAAACGTACAGTTTTTTGATAGTATTTAACGATGGATTGCTGGGATGCGGATGATAGGGATTGGCTAATAGTCGGCTCGAGTTGCGCTCGTGGTGTCGGCGCTCGCCAGCAGCGACGGCAACGGTGCCACCGCTACCGACAATATCCGATGATTGAGCGGAACGATCATCACTAGACTGGTTAAGCATTACTTGGTTTTTGATCCTATAAAATATACGATAAATATCTTAGAATTCAGACAAAAAAAATTAACAAATAATTTGATCCATACCTTAGTTTTTCCAATTTTTTGGCAATTTTGTGACACTTTTTGTCATTTCTATCGTATTTCTTTGGAAATACTTGCGGAGGCGGCGGCGGCTCAAAGGCGGCCATCGTTTGCGGAACATACGGATAGCACGGATTAGTAGCCAATCCATTAGTATTATTAGTCGCACCGGTGGTAGTAGTAGTAGTCTTGTCGACGACAACTACATTGTCACCGACACCGCTGTTGTTGTTGGCGTTATTGTTGGTAACATCAGATTTAGCGGCAACGGCGGCTGCAACAGCATTGGCCGATTTGACTGCGGCAACGATTGCTTCGATACTGGCCTTATTTGCGGCAGCGGTAGCCTCACAAGCAGCAGCTTTGGCTGCGGCCGAAGCAGCAGCAGCGGCGGCAACCATAGGATTAAACATCTGTGGCGGCGGCGGCGGCGGTGCAGTCGCTGCGGGAGCCGTCGTTGCATTAGCAGCAGCCGTTCCGGTAGTATTACTTCGGGTAATCGTACCGTTTCTCAAATCGACATCCAGTGCCAGAACCATTTCGTTGGTTACGGGATCGACAATAGTCGACGATAGAAACGGCTTTAGGAAATCCAGATTAGGATTCGGTATATCATAGTAACCAGTTTTGTTGAACTGTCGTATGTAGCGATCGATTACCGTAAACGTATGTTTCGGATCGTGAACTTCGGGTTTCAGTCGACACTGTTCGCACAGATCATAGTCCAAACAGTTGATACACTTGTAGCGCATGCCCTCGATTTGCTGGTCACACGAATCGCATATAATACCCGTATGAACTACTTTGTAGTCCAGATCGTCGTCGTCGTTGGGCATCGGTATCGGCATTAACGGCGGTTCCGATCGGGGCTCGCATCTGGCGGCGGCTGAGGCTGTGGCCGATGCCCTATAGATTGGTATATTTCGTTCCGAACAACCGCTAGCCGTCGACGAACATTCGCTGGTCAGCTCGTGTAGACATTCGGTTAGTTTGTTGATCAAACGTTTGGTTACGTCGACAGTGATTTCGTTTTTAATGTTATCCATCTGAGCTTTGGTCATAAATATTAATTGCGAGTCCAATTGTGTGGCCGCGTCGGCTGCAACCGATGATCGGCTACTGCTTGAGGCAGTCGTTTTCGGCGGCGGCGACTGGTTTTCAGTGGACACATTGTTGGACACAATTATAAAATCATTGTTTTCGACGGCGGCAGCAGCCGCTGCTGCAGTGGCGGCGGCTTTATCGGTAAATTTGTCATCGTTTGAGGCCATTGTTATCGATGTCGACCTATTGTTTGATTCAGATTTATTGGTCACTTCATCAACAGTTTTACTGATGGTTACATCCAATGGTTGTCCGCAAAGTTCTGCAACCTATTTGTTGATATAAAACAATTAATAAATAATTAAATAAATCTTATTTTTTTGTATAAATAAATATTAAAACACCAAAAAATAATACCAAAAATTCAGCACTGATTGCAAATATTGACATTTTTTTTCATTACATTTTTATAATATTGAAAAAAATAAAATAATATTATATAATAATAAATCGCATTTAAATTTCAATACAACACAAACATTTAGTTATCAAATTAATTTTTTTTTTGATGGTTTCTCATAACAAATATTATACTGAATTTATTAACACTTATGATATAAAAAAAAATAAAATCTTTTTTATCAATACATACATACATACAGTAAGTGTAATATTTAAGCCAACAATGACTTGCATTTACTGATAAAAAATACTGTTGTATTAATAGTAATAGTAATTATAAAAATACAGTAAATAATAAATAATATTTACGGGTAATAATTACAGCTCCTTATTATTATTATTGTTGCTAATGTCATATGATTTGTAATTATAATATATTAGACAATAATTTTTTATTTTATCAACAAAAAAAACATACAAAACAAAATTATATATGATATTCAATGATAATCTTTATATATATTATAAATATATATATATATATATATATATATAATAATAAAAATCTGATGCAACTTAAAAATTGTTATTTGTATAAACAATACTAATGTATATTTAAATGACTTATTTAAATAAAAAAAATTTCAAATTACTACTTATAGTTTAAACTACTGTTATGTGTCCTTAAAGTTAATTATTATTATACCAACAAAAAACAAATCTAATTATAATTTTTTTTTTTAAATATTAATTAATAGTGAAACAAAAATTTACAATTCAAGACTAGCAAAAAAATTTTCGACCTATATATCCAACCATTGAATTATTTAATATTTATTTTAATAATAATAATAATAATGGATTTAAATTTAAATAAACAATAATCAATAATTTCAATATTTATATTAGTAGTAGTAGTAGTAGTAGTATTAATAAACATTATTAATATGACTAACAATAATAAAATAAATAACCAGAAAATTAAATAACTATACTATTTTCAAACTAACCATATGTTTATAACTTTAAATATATATATATATATAACTTATTATAACTTTATTAATTAATTATCAATCAATTCAAATAACAAATATTCAAATTAAAAATAAATACCTTTAAAAATGTCGATAAAATAGACAAATAATTTAAATCATTATCGGATGGGTCACTCATTTTTAAAATAAAATCAATTATATATATAATTACAACACAATTAAAATCACAATTTGTTTTATATAAATCAGACGCCAAACAAACAACACATTATAGAAAACTACATAATAATACCAGTAATAAAAAAGTGCAAATATTTTTTGATGGAGGAAAATATATTGCTTTTATAAAATATTTTAATAAATATATATATATATGAGAGATGCTATTATATACTATCGCCCTGTAATCAAAATTGTTGTATAATGTATGTCAAAATGTATAGCTTTTTTCAAGGTATTTATGTTTTTTTTTTGTTTTAAAAACTACAAATTAATTTACATTTCATACAACAAACCTATAGTTATTTTTTTGGTGCATTTAATAAACCGATAAAAACATTATGCAATCACTTTTTATTACACATAGTTAGTTAGACACCTGTTTGTTATGTTATATAGAAGTCTAGTGTAATAATAATAATATTATTATTAAAGATATTATTCATAGATTACATAATATATAAACAAGTATTTCAACCATTATTTTATCGATTTATTATATATACTAAACGATAATTAAAAAAAATTAAAAACTTTTTTTTGTTGTTTAGTTTAATTTATAACAATTTACTGTAACAACCAATTAGTTTAAAAACATAGACACAAATATTTCAATTGCATTTTGATTGTGAATTAACAACAAAAAAAATAAAATAATAATTTTTATATAAAAATTTGTGTTTTGAATGACTATATAACTGTGTGGTGAACCCCTCCCTCCCCACCCGCCTCCTAAAAGCCCCCCAATATATAATTAGTATCTATTAAATTGTTATAATTAGTAATTATTAATAAAAACCCATAAATACATATCAAACATATGACAGTCATATATCATATAATATTAAGTAAAACATATGTCACCCGAATATGTCGGAACCCTCCGCTTGAGCGGACAACTCTCGGACCCGATAATTATCGACAATTCAAACACACCAAAAAAAACAACACTCACTTTAAGTGCGGTCAGATAATCGTCATTATTATTGATAACAAATTGATAGTTCATCGACGGTATGGCACCGGTAAAGACAATATCATCTGTTGTATTGGTGGTGGCCATCATCGCTGTCGATGACGACGACGATGACAACAACGAGTCATTGTTACCGTTCAGATCCAACAGCTGTCAACAACAACAATACAACCCGATATCAGATTACCCGATATATTACATCAATGGTCACCCAATCAATCAATCAATCAAATCAAAACAAACCTGTTGTCTAACTTCGCGCCAATGAGTAGTATAGCCGTCGACCGGGCGAACGCTTACCGATAGTACGGCTGCGGGGGCGGCGGCGGCGGCCGATGATGACGACTGTTGGCTGCCATCAAACTTGATCTTATAGATGACACGCATGTCATTATCATTACCACTACCAGCAGCAGCGGTAGGAGCAGCTGCTGCTTGTGCTGCAGCAGCAGCGGAGGCGGTAGTCCTCCTGTCCATCATATCAAACACATCCGATAAATTTTCGGCAAATAATTGTCGTCGTTGTTGTTGTGGTCGCTGTTGTCGTTGGCCGCCATCACCAGTGCCGCCGTTGGCCAACAAATCATCGGCGGCTTCCATGTCGTCCAATGATAATCTCATTTTGTTTTTTGTGTCAATCAATTACAGTGACAATCAATTGTCGGGTTTTTAATAATAGACAGTTAAATGTCTTATTAGTTTTTTTTAGACAATAACTGATCCAATCATCACTTCTTCACTCAAGAGGTTTGTTGTTATGTTATGTATTAAATCAATGGTATCGACGATTGCACTGCGTTTTAGACGCAATACACTGTATATTATTAGTACTACTAATGTATAGCTATAGGCATAACATTATTAGACTTGTATTTTAAAAACAATTTTTTAAATGGCAGTCAAAATACAGTACATGTATACATAGTGAGCCATACATTCCACTAATAACGTTACACATAGTAGTGACTATACACAACCCCATAGCAAATAATATTTAACATACAGTGTGTGTGTGTGTGTGTGTGTGTGAATGCAACGCATTGCACACTTAAACAAAACTATATACAGTATATATAGTGTGTAACGTTTTCTATGAGTGACCCCATTGTTGTGTGTGTGTGTGTGTGAGTTACTGTATTATAACCAGGGTTTTAAGAAAATAAATGCCTGCCCTGGCAATGCCCAAATAGATGCCATAAATGTCTGACATTTTGGGCATCTATTTTATTTGCCTGCCACATTAAATTGCTAAAAAGCAACTGTATTTATAAAAATAATGTAATTTAGTGTTTTAGCGTGTTAATTAAATTTACAATTAATTTACTTATTTCCAATGATATTACCTTTTAATTAAAGGTATATAAAACAAAAATACAAGCAAATATTTTTTAAAAACAATGTTTTATAAATTAATTAATTATATAAAATTTAAATAATAGGTGTCACCACCTGAAAATAGATGCCCAGGGCATGGCAGAGGCAGGGCAGGCATTTGGCATAATTGGCATCTATTATTTATGCCTGCCATTTTTAAAACCCTGATTATAACCCTTACTATTGCAACAACAATAATATCTAAATAATACCTATTTATTAATAATATCAATACTATTTTAATAGATTTTCAATACAATACATATACAGATATTTTTTTTCAATGACTAAATGCTATGTTTTTGTGTTTGACTACATGTACTGTATATTGTTGTCTATTATTATTATTATTACTCTATTATATAGTCTATATAGTCTATAGTAATAATAATAATAATAATAGACAACAATATACAGTACATGTAGTCAAACACAAAAACATAGCATTTAGTCATTGAAAAAAAATATCTGTATATGTATTGTATTGAAAATCTATTAAAATAGTATTGATATTATTAATAAATAGGTATTATTTAGATACAGTCAATACATAGTATTAATATACAGTACACACTATTGTATTATTATTTTTTTTAAATACTGTATAAATAAATTAAATAATAATAAAAGGGAAATACAATACAATTTAAATAAATTAATAAAAAAAATTTAGATATAAATTGAAAAATATATTTTTGTTTTTTTAAAAAAATATTTAATTAATATTTTTGTTTTTTTGGACAAACAATTGGCTAAATATAACATTTAATTAATTAATTAATTAATTATAATTATTATTTAATATTATTATTTGCTTACGTAATGTTTATTTAAAAACATATTTAATATCATAAATGGTTAGCCATTATATCATATAATAATATATCATATATTTATTTATAATAATAAAAATTAAATAATATATAAATATATATAATAATAAAAAATTACTTACAATTTATTATTGTTGACAATTCACTGATTGATTGATTAATTAATTAATTAATTAATTGACTTAATTGTATGTAATATTTAATTATTAATTTATAAAAAAAACTATTTGTTGTCTACTATTATACTATTGAAACACAATATATGATATTATTATTAGTTATTATTAGTTATATAAACACAAAACATATGAGAGTCTCTCTCTTTCACTGTTTGTTTGGTTAGTCTGTATGAAAACTGCTATATAATAGTGTAGTAGTAGTAGTAGTAGTCATACATTTAGTTGACGTTACAATAGTCAATGCCTGGATAGTGGGCGGCGCTTATAATCAGTATATACGCTATAGTTTATAATAAAGTTTTTTTAATTGATTTTTATTTTATTATTATTATTACTATTATATACACACAAACAGTATGAGTCATATGTATGTGTAATAATGAAAAAAAAACTTGCATTTATTTTAAACTAATAATATAATTATAATTTTTTTTAAAAAAAATATTTATTAAACTATATGATTGTCAATAATAATAATAATAATAAGATAATTTAAATTTAGTTAATTTTTTTTTAAAAAAAAATTTGTAATATGTTTAAAGGTTTTATTTAATTATTTTAAAAAATTTAGTAAATTTTAATATCTAATAAGTCTATTAGTAATAATTAGTATTTTAATATTATTAAGTTTTTTGTAAAAAAAATATTTAAAGAGGAAAAATATGCATTTTTATTGTTTTGTTAATTAATTTTTATTTAACTATTGACTTTATTTGCTAACTTTATTATTATTATTATTATTATTATTATATTTTTAACCTAACTTATAATTAATATACTGTATATATATATAAATATAAATAGGATATAAATAAATAATTTTTTTTAATCAAATGTTTATCACGTGTTTATCATAGAAATTATTTTTTTTTATCAATAAATTGATTAAATAATAATAATAATAATTTATTTATTGTTAGTAACAACACTTTCACATTTCTAGCATAAATATATATATATATATATATCTTATAATATTTTTATCATATAAATTGTTTATATAATATCAGGGTATTTATATACAATTATAATTATTATTAATATTTACATACAGTATATGTAGACTACAAAACTATGGTTATATATGATCAAGATAATTTTTTTTTCAAAAAAAATCTATAAATACTACTGTATATAAAAAAAATTGTACTTAAATTTAAACCTACGAAAAAAATAGTTTATCTAGTTTTTACACACATTTTAAACATAATATCATATATGATAATTATATTATTAATTAGTGTTAATTATTTTGTTTATAATTTTTAAATAAATTTCTAATAATTATTAATAATGTACAAAATTAACGGTAAATTACCGATAATTATCAACAACAAAAAAACAATTACTTAAACTTATATTTAATTAATTAAAATAATTTAATTTTTTAGGATTATATACTATTAAAATCTCTCTCTCTCTCTCTCTAATAGTATACATAAAAATTAAATTACCGGTATACATGAAATACTATTATTTCACCATGTTCATATATTATACTAGGTAGTTTTAAATTTACTGTACAAAAATGCAATATAATTTACACACACACACACAAATATTTGAAAATACAATATTAATTAATTTATTAATTTTTTTTTAATTTAAAAAATTGCCTAAATATTATGTTTTATATATACAGTATATATATATATATAATTATAAATTTAATATTATTTTTATGAAATGTCTTATATTTTTTTAAAATAAAAACAATGAATGTGTGAAATGAATGTTTCTATACAATGAATAATATACTGTAATAATAATAATTATAATTAATTATAATATAAATATATTATATAATTATAATTATTACCAATAGTATCGTATAGTTTGTTATACAATATATATAAATATTTATAAAAACATTAATAAATAAATTTCAAATTGATTGATGCATTTTGTTGTTGTCTTTTTTGTGTATCATTTAAATTATATAATTTAATATTATAATTATTTTTTTTAATTAAAAAAATAACTCCTAAATAACTGTCTAAATTAAATAATAATAATAATAATAACTAATTATTTTTTGTTAAATAAAATAAATCCTAAACTTTAATCGTTTAATAACCTCTTAAGCCATTATAGGCTTTAGTTTTTGAGTCTTCGTTGAGAATCTCTTTGATTTGTTTTCGGTGATCGACGGTTAGTTCGCCTTTGGGAAAGTCGACATCGAAAGTGATATACAGAGTTCCCCGAAGATTGTTGTTCTCGTAGTTGGGCATACCTTCGCCAGGTTTGCGCATACGAGCCCCCGGCCAGGTAATCTTGTCGCGCGATACCTGTACTTTGTGGCCGTCCAGATGCGGGACAGTCATCTGAAAGCCGACCAGTGCATCGGTCAGCGAAATGGTAACATTGGTGTACAGGTCGTCGCCCCGACGTTCGAACGTCGTGTGCGGCTGAGTTCGGATACGGACTTTCAGATCGCCCGGTTCGCCATCGATGTGCGGTTCGCCTGAATATCGATAATAATAATTATAAATACCGTTACACCAAAAAAAATCGGTAATTAATAAACTAATTGATCACAAAAAAAATCTCTAGTTTTTGTTTAAAAACCTATTGTTTTCAATCTATCCCAACCCTACTACTACTACTACTACGGGTGCCCTATCCTATCCATACTACTATCTAACCTATCCCTTCATCGATAATCTAATCCTACGTCTACGGTAATACCCGAACCTCCCCCCCAAACAACTACGGTAATACCCGAACCTATCCAAAAAGTACGATAATACCCGAACTTATCCAAAAACTACGGTAATACCCGAACCTATCCAAAAACTACGGTAATACCCGAACCTCCCAACAACTATGGTAATGATGGAAACACCCAATCAATGACTATCCATCCATCCATCTACCGATAATCTAATCATACATCTACGGTAATACCCCCGAACCTCCTTAACAACTAATGATGGAAACACCCAACTCATGGGCTGACTGATCATCTCAATACCTTCGGCAATGAACGTCTGTGTCTGGCCATCGCTCATACCGGCCTCGATCTCGATCTCCAGAAGTTTCTCTTCGGGTACCAGATCCATATTGGGACACTCGTCGCACACTTGCTGCTGCATCATCTGAAACCGGCCGGGACCCAGCTGTCGGGTAACCATTTCCTGGCGGCAATTACACTTGCGGGTACCGCTCGACGCCTTGTAGACCGATTTTTTCCTGACAACTTCCACAAAATTACCGCTATATAGCTCTTCGAGTGTTACCCACAAATCCATCACTACGTCGCCGCCTTTGGGTATCTCGCGTTCACCACCACCTCTACCGCCGCCGCCGCTATGACCGAAACCGTCACCGAAAAAACCAAAATCGCCGAAAAAACTGGCAAACGGATCGCTACCGCCAAACGAATCGCTTTTCAGACCTTCTTCGCCGTGTCGGTCATAGATCTTGCGTTTTTCGGCATCCGATAGTACCTAATAAAAAGTGGCCACAAATTACAATACGTGAGTTACAATACAACTGCGGGTGTTATCATATATATTGTATATGATATCCTGTACCTCATAGGCGGCGCCCAAGTCCTGAAACTTTTGATTGGCATTCGGGTCGTTGGGATTTTTATCCGGATGTAACTCTTTAGCTTGTTTTCGGTAGGCTTTCTTAATCTGGTTGATAGTCGCCGACCGGGAGACGCCTAATATACCATAAAAATCGCGTCTATAACCAAAAAACAAACAATTATGTTGTTGAGGACATGGATGTGTTTGGATCAGGTATGTGTGGTTTGGTAGTTGGTTGGGTGGGTGAGAGTTTTCATATGCTATATGATATATATCATATGACTTACCCGCACAATGCACTGTCGATGATGATTGTCAACAGCAATACCAACAACACTATCAACGATGACAATGATCTTCTCCAAGACATTTCCAGAGGGGTTTGGGATGTGTTTCGTGTATTGTTTTGTCCCCCAAAAAAAAAACTAAAAACTTTTTTTTTATTATTATATTATTATTTCAATCAAATTGAAAGTGTGTTGAAAACGCCGACTATTTTTTTGTTATTTTATTTTTTTTTTAATGTTTTATCAATACATACACACACTATGTGTGTACAGTATGTATGAGAGGAGTAGTCGTGTAATAAACCGATTGGTTGACTATAGATATACACACACATTAAAATATTTTATATGTGCGCCCACCTAACTATAAAACATACTGTGCGCGCACATACATACTGTATAGTATACAGTGATGTCATCATCAAGTTTGTTATATTTCAAAAAAATTAAAAAATAAAATAAAAGTTGTAAAACTGTATGTCCACAAAAAACGCCAGGTGCCGTCTATTGCCAAGCATACAGTATAGAATCTATAGTATAGATTCTATACTATAGATAGAGATAGTGTGTGTGTGTGTGTGTGTGTGTGTATATGTGTGTGTGTATGTATGAGAGTGTGTGTGTGTATGTGTGTGTGTGTGTGTGTGTGTATGTATGTTTGTGTGCATGTGTGTGTGTGTGTATGTGTGTGTGTATGTGTGTGTGTGTATGTGTGTGTGTATGTGTGTGTGTGTGTGTGTGTATGTATGTGTGTGTGTATGTGTGTGTGTATGTATGCGTGTGTATGTGTGTGTGTGTGTGTGTGTGTGTGTATGTATATGTGTGTGTGTGTGTGTATGTATATATGTGTGTGTGTGTGTATGTATGTGTGTGTGTGTCTATGTGTATGTGTGTGTCTATGTGTATGTGTGTATGTGTGTGTCTGTGTATAGACTACATACCAGTGCGCTGTCAGCCAACAACAACATACTAAAGTGTTTGCCACATATGCAACCACTTTATACAAACATATGACTTAACTAACTAACTGTCCATCACTACTACACCTGAACCGTAACCATACATAGGATAGGACTGACTGACTGACCACTTGGACTGACTGATTGTCCGGTTGACTGAAGACAGAAGAACTATAGTTGTTAGTGTCTGACCCGCGATGTCGTCGTCGTCGGCCGAAACTATGGATGAACTTAAAGCCCGAGTCCGACAATTGGAAAAACAGTTGGCCGACGAACGACTGCTGGCCAATCGGTCATCAATTAATGACAGCTCTGTTGGCGGCCGGCAAAAGATCGAAACGATGAGCTCCGAAGTGGTCGACTCTAATCCGTACAGGTATTTCACAAAAGTTTTTATCGGTAACCGCGCGGTAATTGACTTATCGTTTTTTTAATTAGTCGACTAATGGCACTGAAGCGGATGGGAATTGTTGACAACTATGAGGTGATTACTCCCGAGAAACTATATATATATATATAAATCTAATGGACACTATTTTTAGCGGATCCGCGACTTTACCGTAGCCGTAGTGGGCGTCGGCGGTGTAGGTTCGGTAACAGCCGAAATGCTGACCCGATGCGGTATCGGTAAGCTGTTACTGTTCGACTACGATCGGGTCGAGTTGGCCAATATGAATCGGCTGTTTTTCCAGCCCCATCAGTCGGGTATGTCGAAAGTAGAGGCCGCCCGGGCAACGCTGGCCAATATCAATCCCGACGTTGAATTTGAAACCTATAACTATAATATAACGACTGTCGACAACTTTGACGACTTTTGCGGCCGAATCAAGACCGGCGGTATCGACAGCGGCGGCGGTAAACGTCCAGTAGATCTAGTGTTGAGTTGTGTGGATAACTTTGAGGCCCGAATGGCCATCAATACGGCCTGCAATGAACTGAATCAGATTTGGTTCGAGTCGGGCGTCAGCGAAAATGCCGTTTCCGGACACATTCAGTTTGTCAAACCGGGAGAAACGGCCTGTTTTGCGGTAAGTTTCCGATAACCTAACCTTTGGTCTCCCAATCGGTAGTAATTAATGTCTCTTTCCTCCCGCCGCCGCCCGATGTCCTTTCTATCTCTATAGTGTGCGCCGCCACTTGTGGTCGCATCGAATATCGATGAAAAAACATTGAAAAAAGACGGCGTATGTGCGGCCAGTTTGCCGACAACTATGGGCATTGTGGCCGGTTTTCTTGTCCAAAATACATTGAAATATTTGCTCGGCTTCGGTACGGTTAGCCGCTATCTCGGCTACAATGCATTGGACGACTTTTTTCCCACTCTATCGATGCGTCCGAATCCCGGCTGCGACGACAGCTATTGCCGTCGGCGACAGCAAGAGTTCGATGCATTGCCAAAACCGTTGCCGACGGCTACCGATACTATGGCCTCAGCCGCTGATATTGTACACGAAGACAACGATTGGGGTATTTGTTTAGTAGACGAATCGGTAGCGACTGTGGAGAACCTAGAGATTGGTTCGTCGGGTGTAAAACTGGCGTACAGTCAGCAGCCGATTACCGCCGCCGCCGATGAAGTAGTAGAGACCCAATCAGCCAATAATGATGACCAAACATTAGAAGAATTAATGAAACAAATGAAACAATTATAATATATTCAAAAATATATCATAAAAACAATTTTTGAAATAATTTCCAGTATTTTTATTATTATTATTAATAAATTTTTTAATTATGTATACTATCGGTAATAATTAAATAATAATAAATTTTTTATTTTTTTTAATTACGAGAGTAAAAATTGCATCCAATTTTCAATTTTGGTTTTTTTTGTTTAATAATATACTATTGTTTTGTTTGTTTTTAAAATCAATTGGAAGTTAAATATATAGTGTTTATACTGTATATATTTGTATGTATTTTGTTGTTTTTTAATGTTGTATAAAATAATTACAATTGTTTAATATTATTATTAATAATATGTTTCGATAATATAATTCAAATTTTTTTTTTTTATAAATTTTAATTAAACCCAATCTCAACAACAACTCATACAATCAAAAGGGAAAGTTATTAAAGAAACTGTTGCCCTGTTGTTGTCCACCACCGCCGCCAGCGCCTCCCTGTGTGAATGTAAAATGAAACGGACCGCCCGAATGACCGGAGTTGAAACCTCCCGGTACGCCACCACCACCGGCGCCCTGCGAATTATAGAAAGCTTGAAACAGATTCGATGGATCAAAATCGCCGAAACCACTGGTGCCGTCGCCATCCAAGTCGACGCCACTGTCGTATCGGTTCTTTTTCTTCGGATCGGTTAATACAGCGTAAGCTTCACCGACTGATTCCCGAAAAAAAAAACAATCAATTAGTCGATCAAATATATATCAATCGATGGCTAATCCAAATGAATACCTTCTTTAAACTTCTTTTCGTGATCTTTGCGTTCGGCTTCCGGTGCTGTCGAATGTTTGTCCGGATGATGCATAACAGCCAGCTTTCGGTAGGCTTTTTTGATCTCGTCCTCGTTGGCCGACTTCGGTACGCCTAGTATTTTGTAATAATCTTTTCGTTTGGATTTTTTCAGCTCAAGCTTTGCATTGTCTAACAATTGTTTGTTTTCTGGGATTTGATGGCCGAAAAAAATGAGACATTTTTATTAACAAAAAAAAAACTTCGAAATCACTTCAGAGACACTGTACACCTCTCTCTCTCTCTCTCTCTCTCTCTCTCTCTCTCTCTCTCTCTCTATCTCTCTCTCTGACTGTCTGTCTGTCTATAGACATACACATACCTCGGCTCTTATCCTTCTTGTAGACGGTTTCATAGTCACGGACAGCCTCTTCGTACTGTTCATTATCTATATAGAGTTTACCTCTCCTTAAGTAGGCTTTGAAATAGTTTTCGTCTAATTTTAAGGCAGAGGAACAGTCATCGATGGCTTCATTTAGTTTCTTGAGCTATAATAACAACCAAAAAAAAGACAATTAGTTGATTAATAAAGTGAAGGATCAGGTAATCAATCAATCAATCAATCATAACAATGGCAACAAACCTTTGCGTAAGCAATCGATCGATTAAAATAGATCTTAGCATTGGTTAACGTATTCAACGGATCGGTAGTCAGGGCTTCCGTATAGATTCGGACGGCATCTTCCACTTTGTTATCTTTGAGGGCGTCGTTACCATCTTGTTTTTGGCTCATCAATTGTTTAGCTTTTTTGAACACTTTTTTCACTTTTACGTGATCCGGATTCAGTGTACAAACTTGTTTGAAATGCTGGTAGGCTTTGTCCAGATTATCCGTATAATACAAAGCCATACCACGGATGTAGATGGCGTCGGCATTTGTCTGATCGAAACGTAGTATATCGTTGACAATCTCCTGGGCTTCCGAGTGTTTGCCGAGCAGTACCAGACATTCGGCTTTCATCAGTTTCAATGGTACAGATTCGCTGGCCGTTTCCAACGCTTTACGTATGTTGTACAGTGCTGTCCGATGGTCACCGTTAGCCGAATAACGATTCGATTCTTTGATATGCTTTTCCAGGTCATCCAGACTACGTTTTTCCGGTTGCAAGGGTTGGTTAGGTTCATGTAGTTTGACTTTATCGAGACAACGTCGGGCTTCGTTTGTCTGGCCAAACAGTATATGACATTTGGCTTCTCTGAGGTAGCCTTTGACAAATCCGGGATCCAATTGTGTAGCTTTCTGGGCGTCCACTAGTGCCGCCTGATATCGCTGTGCCATCAGCTGACACGCGCACCGATTGCCGTAATAGGTGGCCGAAGACGGACATAAGTCTATAAAAATAATAATAATTAAAAAAAACAAAACAATTAAAAAATTTTATCATTAATTATATGTGAATCACATAATGTGATTTTAATAACAATAATAATCTTAAAATAAAACAATTAATATAATTTAAATAAATTGATGTCAATATAATTATATAATAGATTTTCAGTTTATATAACCCAATAAACAATTATTATTATTATTACTAAAACAAAAAAAATTATGCACTATTTATAAATCTAAAAAAATGCAATTAACTAATACTAATAATTAATAATTAATAAATAATTATTGTAAATAATTTATATCTATTATAATAATAATAAATATAATTTATACTAATCATTATTATATATATTAAAATTAAATAGTGTATAGATAGAGAGTACATACACATCAATTTCGATTACATTTTTTGATTTAATTAATAACAACTAATTATATATAGTGTATATAAATATAACGATCTCTAATTATATCAATTAATTATGCAAAACATTTTTTTATTGTTGTGTTGACATTGAAAAATCATCAATAATTATAATAAAATTTTTAATAGTTTAGCTTAATTATAAATTTGGTGACTATTTAATCATAACTATGAGATAACAGTTAGAGAGAGAGAGAGAGAGAGAGAGAGATAGATAGATAGAGAGAGAGCACATACCTATCGCTTGGGTATAGTATTTGATGGCATCGTTATATCGTTTTTGTTTATAAAGTTTATTTCCCTCTTCTTTCTTGGCCTCCGCCTGTCTGTTATAAAAACAAAATTATTTATTAATATTATTATTATTACAATTATTTTTAAATCAAATTAAATAAAAAAAATTATAATACATTTGAATTGGAAAAAAGACATTGTATTTGAAATTTTTTTGATTTATCAAGAAATAGATATCAATATAATTATATTCAATATAGGAAATCAATTTTTATTATTATTATTAAATGTAATAACTTATGTATAGTTTATTTTTTTATATATATTGAGAGTTAACAATAACATAGCCATAAAATGACATAAATTTTTCAAATGGGTTTTTTTCGGCATAAAAAACAACATTTTTAAACTCAATATATATAAACACATTATACCGTATATATACACACCAGAGGTTTTTTTAAAAGTGTTATCTTAATGTATGTGTTAACCCATTAAATAAAATTTTTTTTAAAAAAACATACGGTATGTGTGTTAACCTAACTGTTTGCCAGAAAAAAACACAACTATATTATAGATAACAGACAACCAAACAAAAAAATACCTAAACTTTTTCGAGTCATCCCTTAGTATGGGATATCTGGGAGGACTTATATGTATCTCTTTAAGCACTGTCTGATAGTGAGGAGTTGGCTGAGGAGGACCGTTAGCTTTACGGTCATCACTATCATCATCATCAACAACAACATTAGTATTAGTAGTAGTAGTATTACGGCTGTTGTTATTGTCRTTGCCGCCGACATAACGRCACCGATGATGGCCAACGTGTCGCGACCGTGACGAATGGCGGACACCATTTACGGTAGCGGCTGTACCGCCACCACCACCGCCAACATCGGTGGCAGTCTTATTGGTGGCGCCGCGTTGTTTGCTGGCCGACCGTTGGCTACAGTTATAGTCACTGTTACTGTAGTTGATCTCAATGGTCGGCGGTCTGGCCTCTATCGTGTCATAATTGGACAGCAAAAAGTCGTCAAATGTCGGCGATTCGGCGTTTCGTTGATTATTATTATTATTATTATTAGTATTGTTTGTACAGAAAGTTTTTGGATATAATCTCATTGTATATATTGTATTGTAATTATTAAATAAATAGATATTAATAAATAACTTGAATTAAAATCAATCAATCAATCACTGAATAATAACCACCAAAAAAAATCACGATTTTTTTTTGATTTAAATTTTTAGTTACAATTAAAACAAATTATAAGTTTTTTTCGATACCAAAATTATTGATATCTTCAATACACAAACACTTCAAGGAGATTATGACCTTATATTGTATTAAAATATATATTTTTTTTTAAATTCAATCAAAAGTAAAATTTCTATAATAAAAATACATTTGAATTGTTGTAACCAAACAAACACTAGAGTTTTACAATCAATAATACTATTAATATTATTTTTATGACAAAATCGATGATGAATTAGATGTAGAAAATTGCTATTATATATATACAGTTATATATATATATATATATATATATAATCGCACAAAACTAAACACAAACACACATATATATATATAAAGTGAATTAATTAAAACAAGGAATTGATTTTATTATATATATATATATATATATATATATATATATATATATATATATATATATATATATATATATATATATATATATATATATTTATAATATGAATATAAATATATAATTTTCACAAACAATTGCTGAGTCAATCATATATTAAATAAAAAAAACTGTATATAACTGGATATACAAACACAAGTGTGTGTGAGGACTTGGATGTCAACAAAACTTATATAACAACAAAAATGATTTGACAAAAAAATAAATAAATCCGATATTGTTATAAAAAAACTATAAATAGTTGTCAATCGGTTTTTTTAGATTTAAGTATATTATAGAAAAAATTGTTGTTTTATTTTATTTTATATAATTATTATTAAATAAAACTTTTTTAAGTTTGTTTGTTAAGTGACAGTTCAGGCATACAATATGAGACACCAAATAATAATAAACTATTATATGGACTACAAATACAAACTTATTTATATATTAAGTAGTAGTAGTCGACTAAATAAATCTAAAGCACTTTTATATAATAATAATAATATTGAAATTATTAGCAATTATTGAATAACTTGTATATGAATGGATCGGATCGGTAGGAGAGGAGTGTATGCTAGAAATAGAGAGAGAGGAAAGGTATGCAATGCAATGCAATACCAGGTATTGTGCGTTTGAATTAAATTCAAGGATAACGACACCGAAAGCGTCGACCTGTGAGAGTAGTAGTAGTAGTAGTGGTGATGAAAAAAAAGTGAGACCACAGCCCAACCAAACCAACCATCACTCAGTCATCCGCATACATACATACCTAACCCAAACCTAAACCATTAGATTCTTGCAAACAGTATATTGAAAACTATATGTATTTTATAAATATATATATKTAAAAACTTGTGCTACAACTCACTCACATATCTTTTATTTTTGTTGATATTTTTTTATAAAAAATAATAATAATAATAAATATTTTATGTAATGTAATGTAATTTTAATTTTTAGTGTTGTTGGCCATCAAATAGTATAGATATAAAAAAATTAAAAAAAAAGTTTCGGCATTACTAACCAAACACACACACAAAACATGCAATCAATTCAATGATGTTTTTAATATTAAACATTATTATACAACAAATAATAATAATAATACTATTATTTAAAAAAAGTTACGAAACTTAACGTAACATAACATTACACATTAGATTAGGTGTTGGTTTGATATGTGAAAAGCCTACACATTATGTCTGCATATTATTATTATTATAACAAAATTGCCGTTTAGTTTATAAAAAAAAAAAAATTATGTTGTGTTGTAAATATATTTTCATTATTATTATTTTTTAGATAACATTGTCCTAACTTTGACTAAACAAATCGGATTCAAATTATATAATAATAATAATAATAATATAATGAATGAGTTTTTGAACTCATTGTTTTAGATTTTTATTTATTTATTTTTTTGATTTATTTTTTGATTTTAGTTTATGTAATCCAATCAGTAATTTTTTGTAGTTGATGTCTATCTATTAATAATAATAATGCAACAAATAATAATTAAAAACCATCAAATTATAAACCAAAAACTAATAGCAAATATATATATATTTAATATTATATTTATATATAATTTTATAATATTAACCAAAAATGTAGATTTGGGTCAAAGATAAGAATAATTTTTGTTAAATAATTTATTTATTTATTTTTTCATTATTAACTAAAACACAAATTTCATACTTAATATGGGATTCAATTTCAATTAAAATTTAAATAAATAATAATAATAAAAACTTTAAATGTTTTTTGAACATTTAACTAAAATAAAATTAATGATTTTTTTTACAGTAAATATTATAATATTAATAATGATTATTATTATTATTATTACTATTACTACTACTAAAAATGTGTATTGAATATCAATGAAGTAATAATAATAATAGTGAGGCAATAGATTTGTATTAATAGTTAATTTTTTTGAATAATAACTAATAAATACTAAATAATCTTTTTTTAAAATATATATACTATGGCTTAAAATCAAAATTATATGCAAAAACAAGTTTGTATATAACAAATAAAATTTAAAAACAAAACAAACAGTTTTTTAAAAAAAACAATAACAAGAAAAATGTGGTCAAAATACGAGAGAGGAGTCGGGTTAACAAACCATACGGACAGGTAGTATAAGGAGTAGTAGTTATAGTAATAATAATAATAAGGAACTCATGTTTAAAGAGTTAGCACTAAACTAAATGATAGAGTGAATCAAATCGTTTATAATATATTATTATATTATTATTATTATATAAATTTTGTATATAATTAAATGCTTTATTGTCTTAAGTAATAATAATAATAATAATAATAAATTTTACAAATAATATAATGATTTCTAAAAACAATTTTTTTTGGGAGTTTTTTATTTAAAAAACTTTAAATAATAAAAAAATTATTTGCCAAATATGAAACCAACACATTATTATTATTTAAGATCTCATTGTGTGTGTGTGTTAGCTAAGTGTAAACAAACTATTTTTTTTTGTAAATAAATTTATAATTACATAACAAATAAACAAACAAAAAAATAATATTCAAATAAAAACTAAACAAAATTTACTTAAAAAAAACACGAGAAGCTGTCGTCGATTTTTTTGTTGTTGAATAGAAATTATATGACATAACAGTCAAACAAACAACAATTATTATAAAATAACTTTTTTTTTTGGTGTTTTTGTTAATGTATATAAAATGATCGTTCAGAGAGAGAGAGAGAGAGAGAGAGAGAGAGAGAGAGAGAGAGAGAGAGAGAGAGAGAGAGAGAGAGAGAGAGAGAGAGAGAGATAGAGAGAGTTAAAAATTAAATGAAAAAATTAACATATTATAAGAAAATATATATTTTTAAAAAAATGTATATTACATTACATATCATATTTTTAAAAAAATATAAAATATTTATGTTTGTTATCTATAAATTAACAAACTTATCATAATCATTTTTTATTATGATTATTATGATTATTACTGTATTATTATTATAATGTAATGATGATGTAATGATGTGTTTAATTCAACAAAAATGATAAAAATCATATAATATTTACTATACAACTAATGAAATGTTTGCTTTAAAAAATTATCATTTCTAACAAAATTATATTTATAGATAACATTTATAAATTAAAATTTTTTTAAAAAAAACTACAGGTATTTAATCTGTCTATTGACTCATTGCATAGCATTTTATTTTTTTATAACTTATTTTGTTTGGTAATCGGCCGCTGAAGACACTTGTCTAACGCCTACAGATAAACACAACATTTTTTTATATAATATATTAATACTGTATATATATATATATAAATAATTTTTATTTTATTTTTTAATTCACATATGTATTGAAGCGCTAATAATAATACTTTTGAAGATTAAAAACAACAACAACAACAACAAAAACAATATATACCGTGAGTTCAATAGCATAACAGATGGTATGGGATGGGGGGGGGTAGGGATGGGATGGGATGCCAATGGGGACTAAAATTAGACTAAAGCCGTAAAGTGTAGAAAATTTTTTGAGAAAATAATTTAAATAAATAGGAAAAAATAAAATATTATTAATTTTATTAATAGTATAAATAAATACTGTATTTAAATGCATGCAAAAAAATTATCTAATTTTTTTTTTGTTTTGTTAGTTAAATATCTAAATGAGTCCAAACTGTTAGCTTTATATCACGATTTTTCATGTCTAATATATATATACAGTATATAGATATTAAGTTTACTATAGAGAGAGAGAGAGAGAGAGAGAGAGAGAGAGAGAGAGAGAGAGAGAGAGAGATATCTTAATAACCGTATATAGCAATCGATAGAAATACTGTATATTTTTTTAATATCATATATAAAATACCTATATATTGTTGTTGTTATTATTACTACATATTATTATTATATAAATATTAAACACCAAACAAAAAACGTGTGGCAAATGTATCAAACAATCCATTGATCCCAACCAACCAAACAAAAATGCATTAAATACTAGTAAAATGATTCATCACTTTATGTTATAGATTCATAAGTCATAGATAAGTCATCCAACTGTCTGTCCCCGGACGACAAACCCAAGAGCATCATCACTACTATACATACATACATACATACATGGGTTTGATTGGTATAAGGGGTTAAAGTCAATGAACCAATTGTTTCTCTCTCTTTCAATACCCATGTTTGCAGTTATTATTATATAATATATTAGTATTCAAGAAAATTATGATAATATCTATAAAAAAACTTAACAAACATTTTTTCAAGTAATACATACATACGTTATGAACCCGTTTTAATGTGTAATTCATACACAACGGGTTGATTATGATAGGAGAGTGCAATAATAATAATATTAATTGCAAATTAAATCATTTAAAAAAAAATTATAACTGATTTTTTTTGTTTGCAAAATAAAATACTAAATAATTATGAGAAATAAAAAAAACAAACAAATAAATTGCTTAAAAATACACTATTTTTTTAAAACAAAATTTTTGTATAGTTTAGTTAAATGCTATTTAAATGATTGCTTTCTAATTATTTGATTATTAAATTATATTTTTGTGATAAAATTTTTATGTTTCAGATAAACTACTATTTTTWAAAATTTTTTTTTATTAACTCATAATCAATAACTATTTTAATTATATTATATTAACACTTCATATATTTAATGTAAATGTAAATATAATGTAAATAAAGCATATGTATTGTGTAATATATAATTGTTAATCAATTTTTTTTCTCTATATAAAAACATTAAAAAAACAAAATCAATAATATTGTTGATAAATCCCATTAAATATATAAAAAAATTTTAATCAATAGATTTAAGTAATATATTTTTTTTAATAACAATTATCTCAAATATAAAACCAAAAAAAAAATAATAATAATAAAAAGATTATGTACTTAAGCACACATATATACTGTATATTTTAAATATCAAATAATTTATTTATTTAAATAGATATGTTTAATGAATAAAATAATAATTTTTTTTTATAATAATAATTATCATAAAAAAATTATAAACAAATCAATAGTTAACCAAATTATATATATATGATATGCTATTAATTTGGATATTAATGAACAATCATTATATCAACAAAAAAAACTAAATAATAAATTAAAAACTAAAACAAATTTTTAGTTTTTTTATTATTAATATTATCATATCTATGGTTGTAATTTACAGCATATATATATACATTATATATATATGGTATAAATATCAATACTATTACTACTACTACTACTACTACTACTACTACTGTACTACTAATAAAAAAAAAATTACTAAATGCTATATTATAATCAAATACCTTTTAATACTAATAATAATTATCATTATTACAGTATTATTATTATAATTATACTAACAAGTAATGTAATGGTTTCGTAATACTAATACCCGTAATATAAATGTATTTTTTTTTTTGTTAAATTACTGTACATTACATTACAATACATTTAACCAACCAATACATCCCTTATATCGACGACAACGACCACACCATTCAAAACAGTAACCATCGATGATATGTATGTCCTATTATTAGATACCATTAGATATCATACTATAGTGTTGTCCGCCGCCAGTGGATGACAAGGAGGTGTCGGAGGACAACACAAACAAGACTTTTTCATACATATCTTAGTTTTATATTAAAAACTATAACCGAAAAAAACTGGTATTTTCTAACATTTAATTATTTCAAACACACAATCGGATGGACACACACACACCCGCGCGGGTCTGTCTGTATGTCCACCGCAGTGGAGGACGAGGCGGTGGACAACACCAACAAGACTTTTCATACATATCTTATAGTTTTATATCATATATTAAAAACTATAACCGAAAAAAACTGGTGTTTTCTAACATTTAATTATTTCAAACACACAATCGGGTGGACACACAGCACACACCCGCGCGGGTCTGTCTGTATGTCCGTAAACTAATGGTGTGATCGGTCGGTCGTAAACACGCCAATTGGTGGCGTCGACGGTGACGGCGGGTGTGAGGAGGATAGGTGTATGTGTTTCGAGAGGACACAGACATATTGAGGACATTATAATTGATTTCATTGATAATTAAAATGAAAACAAAGACATCATCTCTTCAGAAGACTACTTACTCTTCCTTTGATTTGATGATATGATCGATAACTTGAATGTCCGACTCGTCATCCATATCGATGTCGTCGCTGGCGATGTTAGTGTTGTTGTTGTTGTTGTTGTTGGCGTTATTGACGGCGTTTTTTGTCAACAATATATCGGCCATAATGTTGTCCACTAACAGGTGTTTGACCGCTGCTGATGGCTTCAGAAGTCGTCTCCGATATCACCGCACAATTGGTCTCCAAATAACAACAAAACAAAACAAAACAGTTATTGTTTGTAATTATAATAACCACTGAATGACCTAATAATATGAGCGCTATTATCGCTACAGTATATACACTGGTATTACAGTATTATTATTAGTAGTAGTAGTAGTAAACGGTTTTTACTGTATATATATATTATAGTATTAAATTGCGTTCAATAAATAAAAAATGCATTACAAATATATGTATGTACTGTACATACATAACGTTTATATACTGTATTACATGTATTAATACCTGTATTTAATATGTGATGAATGTTAGAGAGAGAGAGAGAGAGAGAGAGAGAGAGAGAGAGAGAGAGAGAGAGAGAGAGAGAGAGAGAGAGAGAGAGAGAGAGAGAGAGAGAGAGAGAGAGAGAGAGAGAGAGAGAGAGAGAGAGAGAGAGAGAGAGTATAGACTCGCCAGATGTCTAAACATGTTATCTATATATATATATATATATATATTATTTAATATACAATATATTAATATTTTTCAAGTTTTCAAAAATTATTGTTAATTTTATAAGTAATTTATTTTAATAAAAACAAACAAAATAATTATTTATTTATTATAAAATAAATTATTTTGATTTTTTTTTTAAATTGATATATTATTTTTTAGAAAATTTTATTTTATTTTTTTGGTTCTCTAATTCAACAAAAATTATATATATATATTTATACGGTATTAATACTATAGGTATATCTGGCAATCCTACTGTAATATATATATATATATACAGTACATGTACATTGACAATGAAATCATGTTAGATATTTGTACATCAATAACGTTATACACTATATATAATACATTAAATAGTAGTTTAAAAAAATAAATTTTAGATATAAAACCAATAATTTCATTAACATTTTTATTGGAAAATATTATTTTTTTTGTTAATTATTATTATTATTATTAATATTAAAAAAAATAATTTTTGTAGAAATGTATTTAAATATTCAACAATTACTGCACCAAAACTATAATATATTATTTGAATTATTATTATTATTATTCAATTTGTTATTAAAATAAACTTTTTCAAATATATTTTTTTGACATAGAAAACTATATTAATATAATAAAATAATTTTTAAGTATTAAAAAAATTAACTAAATTTTTGTTTTGAGTGAATTTTTTTTATTTTGAATAAAATCCAAAATATTTAGTTAGACTTTAGAACCAATTAAAAAAAATAGAAAATAAAATACATTTTTTAAAAAAAAAATATGACTTAAAAATAAAATATAAAAAAGTGTTTTTTAGGGTCTTAATTGTTATGTATATTATTTTAATTGTATTTTATTTAATTTAAAAAAAAATATTACTATCAGACAATGTTATTATTAATTATTATTATAACTTTTGTAACTATAGTGTGTAATTAAACCCAAACCACCCTACCCTACCCGACCCATTAATTTTTCAATAAAAATAGCCATCAATTAAATTATTACAAATAATTTGTTTGTTTGTTTTTGTATTAGTATTATTAGTATTATTATAATTGTAATTAATTAATTTTTTTTATTGATATTGAATAAAATACAAAATATGTTTAGTTAACCTTTAACTAAGTTTAACTAAAAAAAATAAAATAAAATAAAATACAATTATCAAAAATATCAAATTGTTATATTTATTAATTTAATAGCTTTTTATTTTAACAAAATTATTATTATTATTATTAATTATTATAACTTATCACATAAAAATTATATTTAAAAAAACATATGGATCTATTAATTGGTTTTAAAAAATATATATTAATATTGTATATATACTTATATATTTTTTCAATTAGTAGTAGTGGTAGTGGTAGTAGTAGTTAAAAAAATTTTAAAAGATATTTATCTTAATATAACAAAAAATCATATTAGTTATTTTCATATATTTGATTAGCTGTATTATATATCTATAAAATATATATATATTACTAATACTAATAATATGATTAACTATTATAGCTGTTTACTGGTGGTATTGTTGTTGTCCGGCACCGGTATGTGTGATCTAATTATCAATGAAGATATGGACAATGAGATCGACAATTTGATTGCCGATAACGATCGTATGGCTCTACCCTATAGGAGAGCTCCCGAAACAGTCAAATTGTTTGACAATGAAATTTGCAAGTAATTGAATTGTTGAATATAAAAAAATTAATTAATTAAATTAATATTTAGCTAATTATAACAATTTAACAGCTAATATATAATTACTATATATATACTAATATAATAATATTAATACTTTAATTTATTATCATTATTATTGCATAACAGTAATTGCAAATTATTATAATTAATTGATAATAATTATTAAAATAAAACTAATGCAAGTAATTGACCAAAAAAAATAAAATAAAAAAACTATATATGTTAAATATTGGGGGGACCCCCATGATTTTTCTACAATTTTTTTGTTACCCCCCCCCCCGATTTTTCCAACTAATTTAATATAGATTTATTATTATTATTATTATTGGATGAATTAATGAAATTTTTGTTGAAATATGTGTAACTATTTTGTTAACAATAACAAAAAAATCTTAAAATATTAATTAAAATTAAAACTATATTTATTTTTAATAATTTGTTATAACTATTATAACAACTAATATATTATATTAATACTGTATTTATTATCATTAATATTGTTAATACACAGTAATTGCATATTATTATAATTAATTAATAATATATAACTATTTAATTAGTAAATTAAAAAAGTTTTTATTTTATGGTTTTTAAATTATTTTTATCCCAAAAAAATTAATTTAAGAGTCTATTACCGAAAAGAGTTAAGAATTGCCGACTATTTGACGCACAAGTATCACAATAACCGTCATCTGAGAGTATTGGCCGCCAATATGTCGCTGACACGGATGCGATTGTGGGACAAAGTGTGTAGTGGTAACAATCATTATATAGTCGGACTGTTTCGGGCGGCCAACCGGAATCTGGACGAAACCAAACAATATGCTATCTATGCTTTTCATGCCATACAATCGGCCAGTCATCCTAATTCGGGTTTTACAGTTCCACATTTGATGTGGTATGTCATATATATATATCAGGGCTATGCATTGTTTAGCAGAGAGAGAGAGAGAGAGAGAGAGAGAGAGAGAGAGAGAGACAGAGAGAGACAGAGAGAGAGAGAAAGAAAGAGAGAGAGAGAGACAACAGATAGATAGAGAGACAGATAGATAGGGAGAGAGAGACAGATAGATATGGAGAGAGAGAGAGAGACAAATAGATAGTGAGAGAGAGACAAACAGATAGATAGGGAGAGAGAGACAGATAGATAGGGAGAGAGACAGATAGATAGGAAGAGAGAGACAGATAGATGGGGAGAGAGAGACAGATAGATATGGAGAGAGAGACAAATAGATAGTGAGAGAGAGAGAGAGACAAACAGATATATAGGGAGAGAGAGACAGATAGATAGGGAGAGAGAGACAGATAGATATGGAGAGAGAGACAAATAGATAGTGAGAGAGAGAGAGACAAACAGATATATAGGGAGAGAGAGACAGATAGATAGGGAGAGAGAGACAGATAGATAGGGAGAGAGAGACAGATAGATATGGAGAGAGAGAGAGACAAACAGATATATAGGAAGAGAGAGACAGATAGATAGGGAGAGAGAGAGACAGATAGATATGGAGAGAGAGACAAATAGATAGTGAGAGAGAGAGAGAGACAAACAGATATATAGGGAGAGAGAGACAGAGATAGATATGGAGAGAGAGACAAATAGATAGTGAGAGAGAGAGAGAGACAAACAGATAGATAGATGGAGAGAGAGAGACAGATAGATAGGGAGAGAGAGACAGATAGATATGGAGAGAGAGACAAATAGATAGTGAGAGAGAGAGACAAACAGATATATAGGGAGAGAGAGACAGATAGATAGGGAGAGAGACAGATAGATAGGGAGAAAGAGAGAGAGCTAACTATTTTAACAAATCAAATAAAAGTGTGTCAATAGAGGATATATATTATATATATATCTCTTCCCCCACACATCCTACCCTAACCCTTAATTTTTTTTTTGAATAAAAATAGCCATCAATTAGATTATTAAAAAATTATTAATTTTGTGTTTGTTTTGCTGTATTATTATTATTATTATTATTGACAGTATTGCTGATACCTATTACGAAAAGTATGCCAATTCGTTCAATAATACAGATTATCGTCAAACGGCTATAAATATTTTGCATACACTGTCTGACTCGTGGATGCCATACCTCAGGATTGTTATGAAATTGAGATCAAGCGATAGGATAACCAATTGTAATGCAATCAATGTTACAACAGTTGATCCACTATATGGCCGACGACTGTCCAAACAGATGGCATTATTTGATGCATTCAATGCATTAGTTAAAGTTTAATAAAAAAAACTACATTTTAAAACATTAAAAAAGTGTTATTATTATTAAATAGGGTATCAGAAATTGAATTTTATTTTTTTTTTAAATATATGAGAAATATAAATATATTTATGAAAAATTAAATAAACATAAATTGTTACATAAATTTTTGACAAATAAAACTTTAATTATTTTTTAAATTTTAATTGTAATTATTTTTTTTGTGGAGATTTTTTGTTTTAAATATTCTGTTTAAACAACAAATTAAAATAAATTAATTAATTAATAAGTTTTTATTTTTAAGTTTTAATCAATGCATCGAAAGCATCAAATAATGCCATTTGTTTGGACAGTCGTCGGCTACTGTATAGCGGATCAATTGTAACATTCATTGTATTACAATCGGTAATCCTATCGCTTGATTTCATATTCAAAACGGTACGCATGTATGGCATCCATGAGTCGGACAGTGCCCGCAAATTTTCAATACATGTCCGACGATAGTCTGTATGGTTGAACGAATTGGCATACTTTATACTCTCTGTCTCTCTGTCTCTCTCTGTCTCTCTCTGTCTCTCTCTGTCTCTCTCTCTGTCTCTCTCTGTCTCTCTCTGTCTCTCTCTGTCTCTCTCTGTCTCTCTCTGTCTCTCTCTGTCTCTCTCTGTCTCTCTCTGTCTCTCTCTGTCTCTCTCTGTCTCTCTCTGTCTCTCTCTGTCTCTCTCTGTCTCTCTCTCTGTCTCTCTCTCTGTCTCTCTCTCTGTCTCTCTCTCTGTCTCTCTCTCTCTCTCTCTCTCTCAATATTACATTGTTATAGTTTTTTAATATATTTTAATATATATTATATCATATATATATTATATCATATATATATATTATATCATATATATATTATATCATATATATATTATATCATATATATATTATATCATATATATAAAATGTATATATATATAAAATGTATATATATATAAAATGTATATATATATAAAATGTATATATATATAAAATGTATATATATATAAAATGTATATATATATAAAATGTATATATATATATAGTATATGACATACCACATCAAATGGGGAACTGTAAAACCCGAATTAGGACGACCGACCGCTTGCATGGCATGTAAAGCATAGGTGGAATATTTTTTGGTTTTAGCCAGATTCAAGTTGGCCATCCTAAATATTCCGACCACATAAGCGCTGGCAGTCCTACATTGTTTGTCCCACAATCGCATCCGAGAGTCAGTGATATATTGGCGGCCAATGCTTTCAGGTGACGATTTTTGTGATACTTGTGCGTCAAATAGTCGACTATTTTTAGCTCCTTTTGATAATAGACTCTTAATTTATAACACAATAACAATAAGAAATATATAGTTTTTATTTTATTTAATAAGTATTTAAATAAAAATTTATTCATTATATATATATATATCATATAATTTATATACAATTATATAATTATTTATGTTTTATATATATTTAATTTTTTTGTTGTATAAAATAAATTTAATTAATTCATCCATTAATAAAATAATACTAATAATAATAAATCTATATTAAATTACCTGAAAAAAATTGGGGGGGGAGCGTGGAGGTTAACAAAAAAAATCGTAGAAAAGTCTAGGAGGTCCCCCTTTTATTTAATATGTATTTATTTATTTTTTAATTTAATTTTTTTTTGGGCCAATTACTTGCAAATTTCATTGTCAAACAAATGGATTGTTTCGGGAAATCGTCGATAGGGTAGAGCCATGCGGTCGTTATCGGCCAACAAATTGTCGATTTCGTTGTCCATGTCTTCATTGATTAGGGACGCCATACATACCGGTGCCCGACATCAACAACAACACAGTGTTGGACAACAACATCGGCGCGCCAGTAAATTGCAATAATAGTTAATCATATTATTATTAGGATTATATTATTTTTTATTGAAAATTTTTGTTTTATAATTATAATAAAACTAATTAAATATTAAATTTTTTTTTTTTGGTAAAATGTCTACCTATAAACAATTTCATAAAAATATTGTAAATGTATAGAAAAAAAAGTTTTCAACTTAACAACAACAAAAAAATAAATAAATTTATGTTATATTAATCCATATGTGTTTTTATTACTCTATTAATGTGGAAAATTGTTGGGAATTTTTTTTTATTAGGGAACTTTCCTCTCATGGAAAGTTGATACCAACTTTTTTTTATTATACAACAAGTATTACATCACAAGTGTTATCATCAATTGGGTGATGGGGGAGGGGTCATTTTTTTTGTATAATATGGTCATCCTAGACATTATTACAGTGTATATAATAGTTTATACTGTATAATATATATAAATAAAATAATATAAATACATTATATAAATATTATTAGTAGTAGTAGTGTATATAATAAAGTTACTATTATGTTATGATTTTTATTTTTTTTCCAACTAATTAATGTTTTTTTTTAAAAATTTATTTTTTATAGATTTTTCAGAAAAATATTATATATAAATATATTTATTTAAATAGTGAGACAATTTTTGTTGTTGTTGAAATTCAATTTATTTATTATAATATAAAAAAATTTTGTTTTATAAATTTAATTATTATTATTATTATTATTATTATTATATAATAATAATATTTATTATTTTAATTGTAATTATCTAATAATCTGTTATTTATTTATTTTTTTTGAAAAATTTAGTTAAGCCTTAACTAATGCATGGAAAGCATCAAATAATGCCATTTGTTTGGACAGTCGTCGGCCATATAACGGATCAATTGTAACGTTCATTGCATTACAATCGGTAATCCTATCGCTTGATCTCAAATTCATAACAATCCTGAGGTATGGCATCCATGAGTCAGACAGTGTACGCAAATTATTTATAGCCGTTTGACGATAATCTGAATTATTGAACGAATTGCTAAACTTTTTGTAATAGGTATCGGCAATACTGTCGTAAATAATAATAATAATAATAATAATAATAATAATATTGAAAACAAACATATTATAAAAAACAAATTATTATATATTCACTTATATCTAATTGATGGGTAGGATAGGGTGTTTATGGTGGGGGTAGATATAAAAGATCTATTCTCTATACAAACACTTTATTTGATTTGTTAAAATAGTTTGCTATCTCTCTCTCTCTCTCTCTCTCTCTCTCTCTCTCTCTCTCTCTATCCTAAATCATGTTTATCCCTGATATATATATATATATATATATATATATATATATGACATACCACATCAAATGGGGAACTGTAAAACCCGAATTGGGACGACCGGCCGCTTGGATGGCATGAAAAGCATAGGTAGCATATTGTTTGGTTTCGGCCAGATTTCGGTTGGCCATCCGAAACAGTCCGACTATATAATCATTTTCACCCTTACATAGTTTGTCCCAAACTCGCATACGTGTCAGCGACATATTGGCGGCCAATACTCTCAGATGACGGTTATTGTGATACTTGTGCGACAAATAGTCGGCAATTCTCAACTCTTTTTGATAATAGACTCTTAAATTTTGTTGTTGTTGTTGTAATAAAATAATTAAAAACATAAAATAAAATGTTTTTTTAATTTACTAATTAAATAGTTTTTTTTTTAATAATAATATTATTATCAATTAATAATATGATCATAATTATAATAATATGCAAATGTTATGCAATGTTATGCAGTAATAATGATAATAAATTAAAGTATTAATATTATATATTAGCTGTTAAATTGTTATAATTAGCTTATTATTAATTAATTAATTAATTAATTCAATTCAATTACTTGCAAATCTCATTGTCCAACAAAGCGACTGTTTCGGGAAATCGTCGATAGGGTAGAGCCATACGGTCGTTATCGGCCAACAAATTGTCGATTTCATTGTCCATATCTTCATTGATTAGGACGGCATACATACCAATGCCCGACAACAACAACAACACCAGTAAATAGCTATAGTAGTTAATCATTTTATTATTATTATTAGTATTAGTATTAGTAATATATATATTTTTTAATAACTATTATTAAAATTAAATTTTATAGATATATATTATACAACTAATCAAATATGATTTAATAAGTAATAATTTTTTTTATTTAATAATTTTTTCTGTATAAATGTCTTGCAATAAAATCAGGTATTTTTTCTATTAATGCTAAAAACAACTGCACAAAAAAATGTTGAAATTAAAATTTAATTAAAACAAATTAATAGTGATTTAAAAAAAATCTGTAAATATTTAAGTATTCAATATATATATAACTATTTTATAATAATTTTTATTAATTTTACAAATAACATAACATTAATAATGAAAACAGAATTTTTTATGGTTTAAAATTTTTAAATATTATTTTAGTATTTTAAAAATAATATATATATATATTTAAATGAGGTTCAATAATATATTAATTAATTTTTGTTTGTTTGTAAATTTTGGTAAACATTTAGTTAAGATATTAAATTGTTTGAAAAAACTATAGCTAAAAGTACTATTTATTTATAATTTTTTGTTTAAAATAAATTAAATAAATTTATTTATAACTATACAATATATTATATAATAAGGAATTTATTTGTATAGTTGTATTTTAGGGAAAGGGAGGGGAAAGGGTGTATAGGAGGACTTATCGATAAATTATGGGGAGTGGGGTGAGTGGGAGGTATAATATAGGATGTACCTATTTTTTATTGTATTATAAAAAAATAAGATTCAATTTTTTTAAAAACTAAATGACTTTATTTAATTAATTACATTAAATATTAGAATAAATAATAGTATAATAATAAATGTTTATTTTTAAATTAAACAAAACAAAAAAATATTACAAAATTTTAGTATATAGAAAATAAAAAATATATTTCATATAATTTATTAATATAAATAAAATATTATTATTATTATTATTATTATTACAATTATTATTTGACTTTCATTAATGCGTCCAAAGTATCAAATAATGCCATTTGTTTGGAAACCCTGATTCTGGTTGTCGTCGGATCATAGGTTGTGTTCAATGGTTTACAATCACTGGTAGTAGTAGTAGTAGTAGTACTCAATCTATTATTGTTTTTCAGTTTCAATACTGTCTTCAGGTATGGTATCCATGAATCGGCCATTTGTTTGCTAACTTTTACTGTCAATTGTTTGTAATCTGAATTGTTGAACGAATTGGCAAATATTTCGTAAAACTTTTCGGAATGACTTTTTTTTTAGTGAAAAACAAAATAAAATTATTTATTTTTTTTAGAAATATAAATATTAATATAATTTATTTTATTGTTTTTTGTTTAATTTAAATAAATTGTTTATTTTCTGTTTAAAATATATGATAATATAATTCCTTCTATTTTTTTGTTTGTTTGTTAATTATATATATATATATATATATATATACAGAGCACTGATTAATATAAATAAATTTAAATTATTTTAAACAATATAAATACATGCATATAATGTTATTAAATATATTTACATGATATGCATAAATAATACAAACAAAAATCTTAAATTTTCTATATATAAAATAATAATAATAATTTCAATATTGAAATATTTGGAAAATAATTTCTAATTTTGATTCAAAAATAGATTCCCTCCTAGAAATTCCCAATGGAATGGTGGGTAGCATATGGAAAATAATATGCGAACATTGGGAATATAAGAGAATTTCATCGAACCCTTGTTGTTGGTTTAATACTTAATTTATTTACTAACTTATCGATAAATATATTATATATGTATTTTAATAGCAGAGTTGGAAAAGATATTAACTGGGAATTTACTGAGAATTTACTGAGAATTTACTGAGAATTTACTGAGAATTTACTGAGAATTTACTGAGAATTTACTGAGAATTTACTGAGAATTTACTGAGAATAAAAACATTGGGAACATTGGGAACATTGGGAACATTGGGAACATTGGGAACATTGGGAACATTGGGAACATTGGGAACATTGGGAACATTGGGAACATTGGGAACATTGGGAACATTGGGAACATTGGGAACATTGGGAACATTGGGAACATTGGAAACATTGGATATAGACTCTGATCGAACCCTAGTTGTTGGTGTAATACTTAATTTATTTACTAGTTTTTCGATATATATATATACAGTATATTAATAGATATTTTTTTTTTGATTAAGTATAACATACCAAATAACGTCGGGTATTGTAATACCCGAATTGTGACCACCACTGGCCAACTGTAGGACTTGAAAGGCATATTTTACGTACTCTTTGGTTTTGGCCAATAATCGGTTAGTATTAATCATTAAATTGACAATGAACGTTTTATTATAGTTACAATATTTATCCCAAATACGTATCCGTGTCAGCGATATATTGGTGGCCATTACACGCAAGTGTCGGTTATAATGAAATTTATGCGATAAATAATCGGCAGTTTTCAGCTCTTTATGATAAAAGACTCTTAAAAAAACATTTATTTTTTTGAGAAAAAATTTAAAAAAAACAAATATTTATTATAAGTAGTTTTTCAAAAAAAAACTTTTATTAAATGTAAACTTTAATAATTATTATCTAAATAAATAGCACTTTTAATAATAACAATAATAATAATTAGTTTAAATTATAATAATTAGTTTAAATTATAATAATTAGTTTATATTATAGTAATTAGTTTATATTATAATAATTAGTTTGTTTGTTATATATAAAAGTTATTATATTTAAAAAGTATTATATTATATTTAATATGTATTTATATTATTAATTAAAATGCAATTACTATATACATCTACTACTACTACTACTACTACTACTACTACTACTACTACTACTACTACTACTACTACTACTACTACTACTACTACTACTACTACTACTACTACTACTACTACTACTACTACTACTACTACTACTACTACTACTACTACTACTACTACTACTACTACTACTACTACTACTACTACTACTACTACTACTACTACTACTACTACTACTACTACTACTACTACTACTACTGCTACTACTACTGCTGCTGCTGCTGCTGCTGCTGCCACTGCTGCTGCTGCTGCTGCTGCTGCTGCTGCTGCTGCTGCTGCTGCTGCTGCTGCTGCTGCTGCTGCTGCTGCTGCTGCTGCTGCTGCTGCTGCTGCTGCTGCTGCTGCTGCTGCTGCCACCACTGCTGCTGCTGCTACACTACACCACTACTGCTACTGCTGCTGCTGCTGCTGCTGCTGCTGCTGCTGCTGCTGCTGCTGCTGCTGCTGCTGCTGCTGCTGCTGCTGCTGCTGCTGCTGCTGCTGCTGCTGCTGCTGCTGCTGCTGCTGCTGCTGCTGCTGCTGCTGCTGCTGCTGCTGCTGCTGCTGCTGCTGCTGCTGCTGCTGCTGCTGCTGCTGCTGCTGCTGCTGCTGCTGCTGCTGCTGCTGCTGCTGCTGCTGCTGCTGCTGCTGCTGCTGCTGCTGCTGCTGCTGCTGCTGCTGCTGCTGCTGCTGCTGCTGCTGCTGCTGCTGCTGCTGCTGCTACTACTACTACTACTACTACTACTGCTGCTGCTACTACTGCTGCTGCTACTACTGCTGCTGCTGCTGCTGCTACTACTACTACTGCTACTACTACTACTACTACTACTACTACTACTACTACTACTACTACTACTACTACTACTACTACTACTACTACTACTACTACTACTACTACTACTACTACTACTACTACTACTACTACTACTACTACTACTACTACTACTACTACTACTACTACTACTACTACTACTACTACTACTACTACTACTACTACTACTACTACTACTACTACTACTACTACTACTACTACAACTTACTAATAATAATAATAGATTAAAAATTAAAGTTATTATTATAAAATTACTTATTTTTAATTTAATTTTGTGGATGACCTGTCCCTGAAATTTAACCAATTATATAGATTATAATTTTGTATTAATTTTATATACATGTATATATACTGTATATATTGTTAACTAACTGTTCAGTGTGGACACTACTGATCATTTACCTGACATACCTGAGCCCAACCCCCCCTCCCCCCGACTCAACTATTCATTATCACTGCAATTATCTCAACAATTATTTATTTTTAAAAAATAATACTTTAGTATAAGTTTATGTATCGTTTAAATATGATCCAATTCAATTATTAACTAACTGTTCAGTGACACTACTGTTATACCTGAGCCCACCCCACCCCCACCCCACCACCCCCCAGACTCAACTATTCATTAGACTGCAATTATCTCTACTGTAGCTTAATTTAATTTATACGATAATTATAAAAAACATAAAAAATATTAAACAATTAATTAATTACTTGCAAATTTCATTTTCAAAAACATTGAGTGTTTCGGGATATCGTCGATAGGGTAGAGCCGCCCGATCGTTATCGGCCAACAAATTGTCGATTTCATTGTCCATATCTTGATTGATAATTATGTCACACATACCAGTGCCGGACAATAACAACACCACCAGTAAATAGCTATAATAGTTAATCATATTATTAGTATTAGTAATATATATATATATTTTAATAACTATTATTAAAATTAATTATAATAGATAGATATACAGTATATATATATATATATATATATAATACAACTAATCAAATAACTAATAATTTTTTTTAATTAATAATTTTCTGTTAAAAATGTCTTCCAATAAAAATTGTATATTTTTTCTATTAAAGTTAACAACAACAGCAAACAAAAAAATATTGAAAATGTATTATAAAAATTTAATTAAAACAAATTAATAGTGATTTTTTTTATAAAAAAAATCTGTAAATATTTAAGTATATTTTTTTAATAATTTTATAATAATTTTACAAATAAAATAACATTAATAATTAAAACACAATTATTTTTAAGGTTGAAAAAATTTTAAATAAATATTTTATAACATTTTGTTTAGATATTATTATTTGAAAAAACTATAGCTAAAAAAATACTATTTATATATAATTTTTTGTTTAATATAAATTAAATAAATTTATTTATAACAATACAGTATATTATATAATAAAGATTTTATTTGTATAGTTGTATTATTTTTTTCGGTATAGGTATGTATATTAATAATGTTGATAATAGCAACAAGCAATATATTGAATTTAAAAATGTGGGGGAAAAGGGGGGCTTATCGATAAATCATGGGGGAGTGGGTGGGTGGGAGGTATAATATAGGATGTACCTTTTTATTATATTTAAAAAAATAAGTTTTTTTTTAAAAAAAAACTAAATGACTTTTTATTTAATTAATTGCATTAAATATTATAATAAATAATAGTATAATACAGTATGTAATTAGATAATAACAATCAATAATATTATTTATTAAGTTTAAAATGTATATAGTGTATATAATTGAACAAATTGAAATAAATAAAATGTTTATTTTTAAATTTAAACAAAACAAAAAAAATTTAGTACAAAATTCTAATATATAGAAAATAAAAATATATATTTCATATAATTTATTAATATAAATAAAATATTATTATTATTATTATTATTATTACAATTATTATTTGACTTTCATTAATGCGTCCAAAGTATCAAATAATGCCATTTGTTTGGAAACCCTGATTCTGGTTGTCGTCGGATCATAGGTTGTGTTCAATGGTTTACAATCACTGGTAGTAGTAGTAGTAGTAGTACTCAATCTATTGTTTTTCAGTTTCAATACTGTCTTCAGGTATGGCATCCAAGAGTCGGCCAATTCTTTACTAACTTTTACCGACAATTGTCTGTAGTCTGTATTGTTGAACGAATTGCTAAACTTTTCGTAAAACTTTTCGGAATGACTTTTAAGGAAAATAAAATAATTTTTTTTTAAATATTTGTTATTTTTGTTATTACTTATTTAGTTTATTTATACAGTAACATTGGGAACATTGGGAACATTGGGAACATTGGGAACATTGGGAACATTGGGAACATTGGGAACATTGGGAACATTGGGAACATTGGGAACATTGGGAACATTGGGAACATTGGGAACATTGGGAACATTGGGAACATTGGGAACATTGGGAACATAGGGAACATAGGGAACATAGGGAACATAGGGAACATAGGGAACATAGGGAACATAGGGAACATAGGGAACTTAGGGAACTTAGAAAACATTGGGAACATTGGAGATATAATCTGATTGAACCCTAGTTGTTGGTGTAATACTTTATTTATTTTCTAGTTTTTCATTATATATATATAGTTATAATAGATATTTAATATCAAATAACAAATACCAAATAACGTCGGGTATTGTAATACCCGAATTGTGACCACCACTGGCCAACTGTAGTACTTGAAAGGCATATTTTACGTACTCTTTGGTTTTGGCCAATAATCGGTTGGCATTTATCAATAAATTGACTATGTACGTTTTATCATTGTTACAATATTTATCCCAAATACGTATCCGTGTCAACGATATATTGGCGGCCATTACACGCAAGTGTCGGTTATAATGAAATTTATGGGACAAATAATCGGCAGCTTTCAGCTCTTTCTCGTAAAAGACACTAATTTTTTTGTGGTATTTATATATATATATATATATATATATATATATAGTTATTACATTAATAATAGATTTAAAAAATAATATATTATTATAATTAGTTATTTTGATGATGACCTGTCCCTTAAATTTACCTATTATTTAGATTATAAGTTTGTATTATAGTTATAAGTTATATATATATATATATATATATATACTTTGTTAACAAACTTATGCCCAATTCAATGTTAACTACTATTCACTAGACACTACTGAGCATTTACCTGTTATACCTGAGCCCGACCCTACCCTACCCCCACCCCACCCCTGACTCAACTATTCATTATCACTGGCTAAATCTACAATTATTTTTTTTTAATACTTCAGTATAAGTTTTGTGTCGTTTAATATCCAATTCAATGTTAACTAACTTTTCAGTGACACTACTGATCAATTACCTGTCATACCTGAGCCCCTACACTAACTTAATTTAATTTATAAATTTATTTTAAAAAAATAAATAAAAATATTAAAAATTTAACAATTAATTAATTACTTGCAAATTTCATTTTCTAAAACATCGACTGTTTCGGGATATCGTCGATAGGGTAGAGCCACCCGATCGTTATCGGCCAACAAATTGTCGATTTCATTGTCCATATCTTCATTGATAATTAGGTCACACATACCAGTGCCGGACAACAACAACATCACCAGTAAATAGCTATAATAGTTAATCATATTATTATAAGTAATAGTCATATACTAATATTTTTTTTAATTAAATTAATTTTTTATACAACTAATCAAAAAAAAAATAACTAATAATTATTAATTTTCTTTTTTAATAACTAATATTACTAAACTTTTTTTTAAAAAATATATATACCTTATATATATATATATATACATATTTTTGTGAAAATTATTAAAACAAATTAGTATTTGTTTCCATATGTTATAATTTTATTGGGATTATGTAATTATATTTTTTGTAAATGTAATAATAATAATAATAAATTATATATAATATAATAATATTTTAATAGTAATCCATAATGGCTTTAAATAATAGGATTTTGTTTAAATAATATAAAAGATAAACTAAATTATAAATATAAATCAAATACAATTTTATTAATATCAAAATACAGTATAAAACATAAAATAATATCAAATATATATATATTTTAAAAAAAACTATACAAAGTTTTTTACTTTAGAAAAATCGCATAAAAAAATTCTAATAATTATCATATTTTAATAATATAAATAAAATATTATTATTATTATTATTACAATTATTATTTGACTTTCATTAATGCGTCCAAAGTATCAAATAATGCCATTTGTTTGGAAACCCTGACTTTGGTTATCGTCGGATCATAGGTTATGTTCAATGGTTTACAATCACTGGTAGTACTAGTCGTCAATCTATTGTTATTTAGTTTCAATGCTGTCCTCAGGTATGGCATCCAAGAGTCGGCCAATTCTTTGCTAACTTTTACCGACAATTGTCTGTAGTCTGTATTGTTGAACGAATTGCTAAACTTTTCGTAAAACTTTTCGGAATGACTTTTAAGGGGAAAACAAAATAAAATTATTTATTTATTTTTTTTTTAGAAATATAAATATTAATATAATTTATTTTATTGTTTTTGTTTAATTAAATAAATATATTTTATGATTAAAATATATGATTATATAATTCCCTCTATTTTTTGTTGGGAAGTTATTGTGGAGTTATTGGGGAGTTATTGGGGAGTTATTGGGGAGTTATTGGGGAGTTATTGGGGAGTTATTGGGGAGTTATTGGGGAGTTATTGGGGAGTTATTGGGGAGTTATTGGGAATTTATTAGGAGTTTATTAGGAATTTATTAGGAAGTTATTAGTAAGTTATTAGGAAGTTATTAGGAAGTTGTTATTAGGAAATTATTAGGAAATTATTAGGAAGTTACTAGGAAGTTAATGGGAAATTATTGGTATTTTATTGGTCATTTATTGGGAATTTATTGGGCATTTATTGGGCATTTATTGGGCATTTATTGGGAATTTACTCAAATTTGGCAGAAATTGTAGTTTAAAAATGCAATAAAAATGAACCCCACCCTATACCCTACCCCATACCCCAACTTTTTCGAGATTTTTTTCATTTTACCCCCCCTATACCCCCATGAAATCGAAAAAAATCACAAACACCCTGATTAATAGATATTTTTTTTATATATAACATACCAAATAACGTCGGGTATTGTAATACCCGAATTGTGACCACCACTGGCCATCTGTAGGGCTTGAAAGGCATATTTTGCGTACTCTTTTGTTTTGGCCAATAATAGGTTAGCATTTATCATCAAATTGACCATGTACGTTTTATCAATATTGCAACAGTTATCCCAAATACGCATCCGTGTCAACGATATATTGGCGGCCATTACACGCAAGTGTCGGTTATAATGAAATTTATGGGACAAATAATCGGCAGCTTTCAGCTCTTTCTCGTAAAAGACACTAATTTTTTGGTATTTATATATATATATAAAAAAAGTTATTACATTAATAATAGATTAAAAAATAAGTCATTAATATAATTAGTTATTTTTTAATTTAATTTGTTAATTACCTGTACCTGAAATTTACCGATTATTTAAATTATAAGTTTGTATTTATTTCATATATATATATATATATATATATATATATATATATATATATTGTTAACACAATTATATTTTTAATACCCAATTCAATGTTAACTAACTGTTCAGTGACACTACCTGATCATTTACCTGTCATACATGAGCCCCACCCTACCCCACCCCACCCCACCCCCGACTCAACTATTCATTATCATTGCAATTATCTCTACAATTATTTTTTTTAAAAAATACTTTAGTATAAGTTTATGTGTCGTTTAATATCCAATTCAATAACTCAACTAACTGTTCAGTGACACTACCTGATCATTTACCTGTCATACCTGAGCCCCATACTACCCCTACTCCACCCCCGACTCAACTATTCATTAGCACTGGTTATCATTACTGTCTAATCATCATTTAACTCAAGTTAATAACTTAATTTAATTTATAAATTTATTTATAAAAAAACTAAAAATTAATTAATTAATTACTTGCAAATTTCGTTTTCTAAAACCTCGATTGATTCGGGATATCGTCGATAGGGTAGAGCCACCCGATCGTTATCGGCCAACAAATTGTCGATTTCATTGTCCATATCTTCATTGATTAGGACGGCACACATACCAGTGCCGGACAACAACAACATCACCAGTAAATAGCTATAATAGTTAATCATATTATTATTATAAGTAGTATTAATACCTGTAGTATAATATACTAATATTTTTTTTAATAAAATTAATTTTTTTAATACAACTAATCAATAACTAATAATTTTTAATTTTCTTTTTTATAACTAATATTAATACACTAACAAAAAAAAATTTATACATTATATATATATACATATTTTTTTGGTGAAAATTATTAAAACAAATTAGTTAGTGTTTCCATATGTTATTTTTTTTATTGGGATTATGTAATTATCAATATATTCAATGTAAATGTAATAATTAAAACAAAAAATTTCTATTAAGAAATAAGTAATATCATAATATTTTTTTTTGTTGTTGATAAAATTAATTTAATAAAAAACTAAACATAAAAAATTTGTAACTAATAATTATTATTAATTTTCTTTTTAAAAAAACTAACTTTTACTACAATTTAACAAATATTTAAATATATATATATATATAGTGTATAAGTTTTTAATTAAAACAAATTTGTTAATTGTATCAATATGTTATTTTTTTTTATTAGGATTATGTAATTTTTTATTTTGTTGTAAAATTTTGATAATTACAAAACAAAATGCTTTAATTTCTATTAAGTAAAAAAAATTTTATAACTTATTGCACAAACTGTTGTGCAAAACAATTTCATTGCATAATAATTTTTAAATATAGGGTGTATCTTTTTAATGTAGTTTAAAAAAAAATAAGATTCAAAGTTAAAAGTTTTTTTTAAATAATAACTAAATGACTTTATTTAATTGTAGGGGGTGGGGTGGGTGTTAATTTTTCATCATATTTTTCGTCATCCTAGTCATTATTATAAATTTAGTTATTTTTTAATTTAATTTGTTGGTGACCTGTACCTGAAATTTACCGATTATTTAGATCATAAGTTTGTATTTATTTATATATATATATATATATATATATAATTATATATACTTTGTTAGCACACTTATATTTTTAATATCCAATTAAATGTTGACTACAATTTTGTAAAACTACTGATCATTTACCTGTCATACCTGAGCCCTACACCCACCCCAACCCCGAATCAACTATTTTTGGTATACTGTATATGTATTTTAAAAATTTTTATAATTAAAAACAAATATGTTATTTGTATCCATACGTTATTTTTTTCATTGGGATTATGTAATTATAATTCAATATAAATGTAATAATTAAGAAAAATAAATAAATAAATGCTTTATTTTTATTAAGCAAAAAAATTATAATTTAATTTTATTGAATAACAATATAAAATGAAAATGCAATATTAATTTCAATTATTTGGGTAAACAATATGTTTGAATTTATTAAGTTACCAATGTCAATGTTATAGATAATTTTGTTGTTGTATAACTATTGTATTTTGTATAAAATTGTAATTGGTCATTTTAAAAAAATAAAAATAAAATAAAAATAATTGTAAACATAATATTCAGTCAACTGTATATATACAAAAAATAATTATTTTTGACTACAATTATACAATTAATTACTATATAACAAAAATAACAAACAAACTAACAATTATTTATTTAGTTTATATGTTTAATATATATATATATATATATATATATATATATATATATCATAGTACAAAAATTTAACAAATAAAATGTTTATTATTAAATTTTTTAAATAAAACAAATTTAGTACAAAATTCTAATAATAGAAAATAAATCAATTTTTAAATATTTTATTAATATATGGATAAAATATTATTATTATTTGACTAAATTTTATTAAATTTTAAATAGTAATCTATATTAAGTTTTTAAATAATAGGATTTTGTTTAGATAATATAGAAAATAAAATAAATTATAAATATAAATAAAATACAATTTTTTTTAAAAATATTAAAATATAAAACATAAAATAATATGAAAATATTAAAAAAATAAACAAATAATAGGTTTAATAAAATTCTAATAATAGAAAATAAATCAATTTTCATATTTTATTAATATAAAGATAAAATATTATTATTATTTAAATTTTATTAAAGCGTCCAAAATGTCAAATAATGCCATTTGTTTTGAAACCCTGATTCTGGTTGTCGTCGGATCATAGGTTGTATTAAATGTTTTACATTTACTACTACTACTACTACTACTACTACTACTACTACTACTACTACTCAACCTATTAATATTATAGTTAAGATTCAATACTGTCCTCAGGTATGGCATCCATGAGTCGGACATAACATCCAATATTTTAGCCGATATTTGACGATAATCTGAATTATTGAACGAATTGCTAAACTGTTTGTAATAGTTTTGTGTTATACTGTTTTGGAAAAAATATAAAAAAACAAAACAAAAAATTTTTTAGAAAATATAACAAAAATTACTACTTTTTATTATATTGATTTACTTTTTATTTTTTTTCAATAAATATTTTGTTTTAATTTATTTTATTATTTTTTGGTCAATAATTTTGTTTTCTATAAAAAAATCTAAAAAAAAATCTATAAGGTTTTCTATAGTTAACTATTGTATATAATTCCTATTTTTATATATATTTCTCTATTTTTTTGTTGTTGATTTTTTTTTTATATAAAAAAACATTGATTAATATAATTATTACACCAAAAACACAACAAACAAAAACTAAAATCATTCAAATTATTTTTTAATCTAATTTGAAAAATTCTCTAGAAATCTCATCACATATAATAGGGAATATATATATATATAGGAACCTAGACTAACCGAACCCTAGTTTATTTATTTTTTTATTATTTATTAAGTTTATATAAAGTAACATTGGGAACATTGGGAACATTAAAGATAGAATCTGTTCGAACCCTAGTTGTTAGTTTAATACTATTTATTAACTTTTCGATATATAATATTATATAATAATATATATATATATATATATATATATATATATATATCGAAAAGTTAGTAAATAGTATTACACTAATAACTAGGGTTCGATCAGATCTAATCTCTAATGTTCCTAATGTTTCCAATATTCTCAATGTTCCCAATGTTACTGTCTATATATAAACTAAATAAAAAAAAATAACAGATATATATATATTTATATTTAATAGATATTGATGTCTAAGACATACCACATAACATCGGGTATAGTAATACCCGAATTGGGTTGAATGGCCGCCTGAAAGGCTTCAAAAGCATATTTTGTATACTCTTTTGTTTTTGTCAGTAATCTATTACCAGTTTTGAATATATTGATCATAAAATTCATATTATAATTACAATATTTATCCCAAATACGCATCCGTGTCAACGATATATTGGCAGCCATTACACGCAAGTGTCGATTATAACGAAATTTATGCGATAAATAATCGGCAATTTTTAGCTCTTTATGATAAAAGACTCTAAAAATTTAATTTTTTAATTTTTTGTTTTTGAAAAAAAAAATAAAATAAATATTTATTATAAGTAATTTTTAAGAAAATATATAAAACTATTATATATATAAAACAAAAATATTATAATTATTAGTTATTATTAGTTAATTAATCTATAGATAATCTATATATATATAATAATTAGTTTATATTAGAATAATTAGTTATTATTTAATTAAGTAATCTCATTATATATATATATAAATATTTAAAAAAAAAAAAATTATCAATTAAATTACTTGCAAATCTCATTTTGAAAAACATCGACCGATTCGGGTAATCGTCTATAGGGTAGAGCCACCCGATCGTTATCGGCAATCATATTGTCGATCTCATTGTCCATATCTTCATTGATATGGACGACACACATACCGGTGTCCGACAACAACAACAACAATACATTGCTGAACAACAATAGTATTAAACAGTGATAATTGTTAATCATATTATTATTATAGTTATATTTTTTTTAATTGATATAAAAAATTAATTTTCAATTGAAAAAAATGTCATTTAATTTCTAACTCAAATTTTTTTTTACTAATACTAAATATGTGTATTAATGTATGTATACATAGTGTAATATATATGATTTATATATGTATTAAAATATTAGTACTTGAAATTAGTAGATCCATATGTTTTTATAAAAAAAAATATTTTAGATTATGTAATCATTTATCTAAATGTAATAATTTTATGCTTATAACTAATTCAATTTATAATAATTCAATTAATAACATAACATAACATTAGGACTAAAAGTTTTTAATTTTTTTTTATTATTATTATTTAAGTCATTAAGTAAAAACTATTACTAAATTGTACTATAAATTGTAGTAACAATTATTGTTTTCTTTATTATATAATGTATTTTTTATAAAATACAGTATAATAATAGAGATGATATACAATAAAGTAAATTATTAAAATAAAATAAATTTTTTTAAATGTCAGAATATAAAAAATAAAAAATATTGTTAAAATAAACAAATAAAATGTTTTTTTTTAAATTTTAGAAAAAATTAGTACAAAATTTTAATTAATAGAAAATAAAATAATTATTTTAGACTTTTAATTAGTGTCTCAAATAATGTTATTTTTTGTGGGAAACCCGGACTCTGATGTTGTTGTGGTATCAGAGGTAATGTTTCAATGAATTACAATCACTACTACTACTAGTAGTAGTAGTAGTAGTCGTCAACCTATTGTTGTTAAGATTCAGTTAAGTTTCTTCAGGTATGGCATCCATGAGTCGGATAAAAAAACAAACATTATTTTAGCCGAAAATTCATGAAAAATAAATTGAATTAAAAACTAAATTAAAACTAAGAGAGAGAGAGAGAGAGAGAGAGATGTAATATAATATTTATCACCATTTATTCGTTAAATAGTTAATCATATTTATTATATATATTTTTAAACAAAATTAATTTATAAATTTTAAAACAACTATTCAAATATAAAATTATAGTTATATAACAATATATGTTGTATTTTTATAATTACTATTTTATATATACTGTATAATATACAGTAAAATAATCAGATTTGTATAGATATGTATTAATAATGTATTATTTATAAATAATATAATAGTTATTTTAAGATGATATATATAGATCTTATACTGTATATATATATATATATAATATAAATAAAAAATAAAATACAATTTTTCTAAAAAAATATCAAAATATGAAACATACTGTACATTATATTAAAATATAGTTAAAATAAACAAATAAAATGTTTAGTTTTTTTTTAATAAATTAAACAAAAATTAGTACAGAATTCTAAATAATAGAAAATAAGATATTATAAAATTTTTAAATAAAAATATTTTTATAATTATTATTATTAATTTAGACTTTTATTAATACATTCAAAGCGTCAAACAAACCCATTTGTCTGGAAACCCGGGGTCTGACTACGGGTTCATAGGTTATGTTCAATGGTCTACAATCACTAGTACTAGTAGTCAACCTATTGTTATTGTTGTTAAGATTCAATACTGTGCTCAGGTATGGCATCCATGCGTCGGACATATCTTTATTGATTTTGATGGATAAGTCCCGATGATCTGTTTGGTTGAACGCATTGGTTAGTTTGTCGTAATAGTTATCGGATATACTGTTAAAAAAATTTTAAAAAAAACAACAAAAATTAGATTTTAAAAAATATTTAGAAAAAAATATTTTACTCTTTTATTTAGTAATCACTTTTAGTAATCACTGATAAAATAATTTTTTTTATTGATGTTGTTGTTGTCTACTATTTTTTTGTGTCTAGTTTTCTATGAAATTTAAATATTAAACTAAATTATATATATATATATTTAAATTTCATAGAAAAGTAGAAAACAAAAACAATAAAAATTTATTTATCAGTGATAAAAGCGATTAAACAGTAAAATAATATATATATATATATATATATATATATATATATATATATATATATATATATATATATATATATATATATATATATATATATCATATATATATTTATATACTAATTAATTAATTTAATTATTATTTATTTATATATTTTTTGTTTGTTTAAATTGTATTAAAAATTTATATTAACTATTAGATAATGTTTTTTTGAATAAAAATTTTTCCTATTTTTATTATTTTTTTTAAATATATAACATTTAATATATACAAACCACATAATATCGGGTATAGTAATACCCGAATCGGGTTGACTGGCCATCTGTATGACTTGAAAGGCATATTTTGTATACTCTTTGGTTTTAATTAGCAATCGGTTGAGTGTTTTAAATATATTGATCATAAAATTTATATCATATTTACAATATTTATCCCAAATACGCATCCGTGTCAGCGACATATTGGCGGCCATTACACGCAAGTGTCGGTTATAATGATATTTATGGGACAAATAATCGGCAATTTTTAGCTCTTTTTGATAAAAGACACTAAATTTAAAAATAAAAAATAAATAGTTTATTATAAATTGTTTATTTTAAAAACTTTATTAATATATAAACTTTAATAATTATTAATTAAATAAATATGACTATTATTATTATTATTATTATTAATTTTTATAATCTATATTAAAGATAATATATAAAACTATTATATATATATAAAAAAATTATTATAATTATTATTAGTTATTATTAGTTAAGTAATCTATAGATAATATATATATATATATTATTTTTTTTTTGATCAATTAATTACTTGCAAATCTCGTATTGAAAACTATCGAGCGATTCGGGTAATCGGCGATAGGGTAGAGCCATGCGGTCGTTATCGGCCAACAAATTGTCGATTTCATTGTCCAAATCTTCATTGATTAGGACGGCATACATACCAGTGCCCGACAACAACACCAACAACAACACAGTGCTGGACAACAATAACACTAAATAGTGATAATTGTTAATCATATTAATAATAATAACAATAGTTTTAATACAACTATATCAGTGATATTTAGTTATTAAATTACAAAAATAAAATAAAACTTAAATTATTTATTAAAAAAATAATTTTTTACTTCAATTTGAAGTTATGTAACTGATAGAAACTATCATATTAAAACATATGGATACAATTTTTTTTTTGAAAAAATAAAATAAATTTATTATATATTTCTTAAAGTTCGAGCAACTTTCCTGTGAAAGGGAATATTCCCTAATAAATATCAATTTGGAAATTATTTTATTTTCTCTCACAAATCGTCGTTAGAAATATGGGAAAATATATTTGAATTATTACTACAATAAATATTATCAAATTTTTTTTAATATTTTTCATTGAAATATATATATATATATATATACATAAATAGTTTTAAATTCAATAAATTTTCTAATACTATTTATCAACATTTATTTTTAATTAAAAAATACACTGTAGTTTTTTTTATAACATTTGTTTTTTTTTTTGCAAACACATAATAATATGTGTTATAAATAGGTGGAAAAAACAATAGGGAAGTTTCCCTGGGAATTCATAGGGAGCAGGGAATATAAGGAAAATTTGGTATATAGTTTAGAAAAATGAGATAGGGAATTTTATCGAACCCTATATATATATATATACCTGTATATATATATAATGCACATATAGCATACATTACTAAATACATATACATATTTTAGAGGACATTTTTTAGATTAAAATAAAATATTATTTTCATATTTCATAAAATTGTATTAAAAATTATTTTTATTAAAAAATTTATAATTAATAATTATAATAATAATAATATGATTAACTATTATAACTATCTAATAGTATTGTTGTTAGCGGTGTTGTTGTTGGACACGGGTATGTGTGTCGATCATATCAATGAAGATATGGACAGTGAGATCGACAATTTGATTGCCGATAACGACCGCTTGGCTCTACCCTATCGTCGATTTCCCGAAACAGTCGATATTTTTAATTATGAAATTTGCAAGTAATTAATATATTGAAAAGATATTATTATTATCTTTGTATATCACGGTTGTTCCGGTGTGATCACAGTTGTGTCGGCCACTTTTGGTGGCAGAGACACGACTGGTTAGATTCAACTCAAATCTAGTACTTTTCTGACTGTTCTACAACTCTGAAGTATCACTGCTTTTTGCATTTCATAGATCTTAGTTTTTCTTATTTGAAGTGATTCCATACTTAGGGCCAGATTTTTCGGTATTACGGCCATTGATGACAGTATTATAGGTATTATTTCAACTTTATTAATGCGCCACATCTTATTGATCTCATAGGCCAAGTCTGTATATTTCCGACGTTTCTCACTATGCGTGTCCTGTAATTTATGTGTTAGTGGGACCGCTATGTCTATTATATACGCCTTATCTTGATGTTTGTCTACTAGGACTATATCTGGGCGGTTGTGGGCCACAGTCTTATCAGTTCTTATTTCTTTATCCCAGTAGAGCTTGGCACTGTTGTTTTCCATTACACTTTGTGGCTCGTATCTATAGTATGGTAATGGGTCTTTGATTAGTCCGAATCTTATTGCCAGTTCCTGATGTATGATCTTGGCTACTTGATTGTGACGGCTTAGGTACTCGGTATTTGTGAGTACTTTACACCCATTTAGTATATGTTCTATTGTTTCGGACTCCATATGACACATCCTGCACTTGTCTGTTGGTATGTTTAGCTTTTGGATATATTTCTGATGGTTACGGGTCGGAACCACTCGATCTTGTATTGCCATCATGAACCCCTCTGTCTCTCCGTGAAGACCGGCGTACTTCAGCCATTTTGTAGACATTTCTTCGTCTACGTGTGTTTGGTTGAGTTCTGCCCGGTATCTTCCGTGGAGTTCTTTTGAGGCCCATGTGTTAATCCTCTCTTTTTCATTTTGTATATCTATTTGATGTTCAATATTGCTGAGGTTTAGAGGTGTGTAGTTGTAATCGAGTGTTGATGTTATTTTGTGGAGCTCTGAGACATAGCATTTTTGTTGATGGTATTTTCTCAACAGTTCTCGCTGTTTGGCCTCAAGGCTTACAATGTTTAGTAACCCTCTACCCCCATGTTTTCTACTAACACATAGTCGTGCTACAGAACTTCTAGGGTGGTGTACTCCAAACATTGTAAGTTGTCGCCTTATATGTCTTTCGATGGTCTCGAGTTCTGTTTTACTCCATTTTATTATTCCGAACGAGTATGTCAGTACAGGTATTGCCCAAGTGTTTATGGCTTTGAATTTGTTGTTTGAGTTTAGTTGAGATTTTAGTATTTTAATGATTCTTTGATTTAATGTTTTCTTTATTTCTTCTTTAACTGCTGTCATTTTAGATTTATGCATTTGTTTAATACCTAAATATTTGTATATATCTCCATTTTCTAGTGCCTTTATATATCCATTATCAGTTTCGTACTCAGGTCTTTCTGAGTAGACACCTCTTTTCAATTTCATTATAGCACATTTATCTAATCCAAATTCCATATTTATGTCATTGGAGAAAGTTTCTGTTGTTTTTATCATTGCATTTAAATCAGATTCTTTTTCGGCGTATAGTTTTAAATCGTCCATATATAGTAGATGTGTTAGATTATATTTTGTATCATTTGACTTTAGATTTACGCCTTTTAACTTTTTGAGTAATGATGACAGTGGATTTAAGGCTAAGCAGAACCACAGAGGACTGAGCGAGTCGCCTTGAAATATTCCTCTGTTTATTTTAATTTCTGTACTTATTTTTGTTCCATTATTCATATTGACACACAATTTAGTTTTCCATTTTTTCATCATATTTTCTAATGTGTTTATCAGTGTGTTGTCAATTTTATATAGTTTTAACACTCTTAATAACCATTTATGAGGGACTGAATCGAATGCTTTCTTATAATCTATGTATGCCATTTCAAGATTTCTATGTTTTTGACGAGCTCTTATTGTTATGATATTGTCTATTGTTAATTGCTCTTTACAGCCCATTGAGTGTTTTATACAGCCTTTTTGTTCTTCAGCTATTATGTTGTTGTTGCTTAAATGATTATATATTTTATTATTATTATATTATTATATCTTATTATTATTATTATTATTATTATTATTATTATTATTATTATTATTATTATTATTATTATTATTATTATTATTATTATTATTATTATTATTATTATTATTATTATTATTATTATTATTATTATTATTATTATTATTATTATTATTATTATTATTATTATTATTACCGATTAACCGATTATAAAGTAGTTGACATTTTTTATGTTATGTCTATTGCATAGTCAAGTATCAGGTTTCAAACTCTCTCTCTCTCTCTCTCTCTCTCTCTCTCTATATATATATATATATATATATATATCTTTCTCTCTCTCTTTCATTCTCTCTCTTTCATTCTCTCTCTCTCTTTTCTCTATCTATCTCTCTCTCTCTCTCTCTCTCTCTCTCTATGTTTAAACTGACCGTTTGATTCCAGACATCAGTTAGTCCATAGAGTGAACCCTGAATTAACAAAACTATTACATTATAATTATAAAAAAAATATATTTTTGTTAATAATTATGAAATAAGTTATTTTTTATTTAAATTTAAATAAAATTTTTGTTTTTAAATTTTTATTTTTGTTTTTTAAATTTGTTTAGTCTTCTATCAGAAAGAGTTAAAAATTGCCGATTATTTGACCCATAAATACCATTATAACCGACACTTGCGTGTAATAGCCGCCAATTTGACACTAACCCGGATGAATATTTGGAATAAATACTGTAATTATGACACAAAATTTTTGTTAAATCTATTCAAAAATGCCAACCAATTGTTGGGTAAAACCAAAGACTATACAAAATATGCCTTTCAAGTCATACAGACGGCCAGTCAACCCAATTCGGGTATTACTGTATCGGATATTATGTGGTATGTTATATAAATAAAAACTATACCCAACACTAAAAATGTAATTGTTTTTTGTTGTCTAACATATATAACTTTTCTCTCTTTATCTCTCTCTCTCTTTCTCTCTCTCTTTCTCTCTCTCTTTTTCTCTCTCTTTTTCTCTCTCTTTTTCCCTCTTTCTCTCTCTTTCTCTCTCTTTCTCTCTCTTTCTCTCTCTTTCTCTCTCTTTCTCTTTCTTTCTCTCTCTTTCTCTCTCTTTCTCTCTCTYTCTCTCTCTCTCTCTCTCTCTCTCTCTCTCTCTCTCTTCTCTCTCTCTTTCTCTCAAAATTTTATTCATAAAAAATAAAAATTAGTGAAAAATAATGTTTTATTATTGACAAAACAAAAAATATTTTATTTGTTTTCATATGTTTTCATAAATTGTTTGTAAATTTTTTTCCTCCCGTTTTTAATTATCCGATAATTACCAGTGTTTCCGATAACTACTACTCACACATCACTAATTCGTACAATAATTCGGCATTTCGTGAAATAACAGCCAAAGCATTGGTCAAACTATCCAACTCATGGATGCCATACCTGAGGACAGTATTGAAACTGAAAAATAATAGATTGGGTACTACTAGTAGTAGTAGTAGTAATTGTAATTCATTGAACACTACCTATAATCCAATGACAACTAAACTCCGGGTTTCCAAACAAATGGCATTATTTGACGCTTTGGACGTATTAATTAAAGTTTGAAATAATTTATTAATTTTAATAATATTTTATTTACTAATAGAATATATGATAATTTTTTTATATTATAATATTAAAATTATGTATTATTTAAAAATTTTTTTTAATTACAATTAAAATTAATAAATTACAAAAAATAGTAAAACTTTTCTATATATATATATATATAATTTTACTCAAATAATATATTTGACTAAAAACATAATTTAATTAATTAAAGTCTAAATAATAATAATTATTATTATTATAATAATATTGTATTTTTACTAAATGTAAATCTGTAATAAAATGTGTTATTTTTTTTAATTATTTAGTTTTTTATACTATTTTTTCCTAAATTTTTTTAAATCTATTATTATTAGTATTAGTAGTAGTAATATTAAAAATACTATACAATTATAATATACAGGTATTAAACAAATTGAATATAACATTATTAGTTAGTGTATATTGACTACAGTAGGTTAGTGTCAATAGTAGTCAACAGGTATATAAACATACCTAAGTGTAAGTGTGTGTAAAATAAATAGTTTATTTTAACTAACGTTGCCAAATGAGTTAACCTTTAAAACCTTGACATTAGATATTTTATTGTATCAATTATATCATTTCATTAACCATCAAGCATTTTAAAAGTTACAAAAGTTAAAAAAAAACTAAAAAATATCAATATTTATTTTTATATATAAATTAGATGTATTGTTATATATATAAAGAAGTATTTCATTAATTATGTCCGAGCGGTTTTCTAAATAACTTTTGATCTGATAGAGATAAATTATTTCTGTAAAAAGTAAATAATTTAGTTATTTACGCGTGATAATAACCACTTTTCATTTTTAAATTTGAATCACGTGATCACATTTTTAACGGGATGTTTGCAAACCACTATGTCAAAACCTAACCTATAAATGATAGGATAAAAATTTTATAGCAAATTTGTAAAGTTTAAATTGATAATTTATTGGAAGAAAAATTTTTTGAAATTGGTCGAAGAATAAATTTTCTATGGCTTTTTGAACTTGTGGAAATACACATTATATAAAATAGTCTAAAATAAAATGACGTTATTTATGAATAATAGACACTTATTAGATAATGATTTTAATACTATTACTTATTCTAAAAACAAAATTTTTTAATGTCAAGTATTTTTTCAGATAATTAAATTACACTAAAAAACGCAACTTTGTAATACGATAATGTAATTTTTATTTAAATTTGATTATCTAAAAAAATATTCGACATAAAAAAATTTTGTTTTTAGAAAATGTAATAGTATTAAAATCTTTATCTAATAAGTGTCTACTATCCATAAATAACGTCATTTTATTTTTGACTATTTTATATAATGTGTTTTTCCACAAGTTCGAAAAACCATAAAAAAATTTATTCTTCGACCAATTTAAAAAAAATTTCTTCCCATAAATTATCAATTTAAACTTTACAAATTTGCTATAAAATTTTTATCCTATCATTTATAGGTTAGGTTTTGACATAGTGGTTTGCAAACATCCCGTTAAAAATGTGATCACGTGATTTAAATTTAAAAATGAAAAGTGGTTATTATCACGCGTAAATAACTAAATTATTTACTTTTTACAGAAATAATATATCTCTACCAGATCAAAAGTTATTTAGAAAACCGCTCGGACATAATTAATGAAATACTTCTTTATATATATATATAATTATATATAAATTAAAAATAATGAAAAAAATTATTTATATTTTTCTTGATAACTAATATTTTTATATATTGTTTTTTTTTATAAAAAAAATTATGCTTTTCATTTTCATTTCAAAATTTAGATAAAAATAAAGATAAGTACAATAATTTAAATTACAAAAATAAAATTAATTTAATTATAATTTTACTTATTTTTTACACAAAAAATACACAAAAGATATAAAAATTAATATTTTATTGAAAATAAATAAATATATAAAAATCTTGACATTGGCAACCCTATATTCATGTTTTATTAGCCAATGAATCACTAGAAAATTGATATGTATGAAAAAAAATTATGTTACAATTTTGGTTTAAGATTATGTTGTGTAATGGGGAGGGAATAGGGGGTATGACAATTTTACCCCTCCCTCGATTAGGACCAGAAAAATTTATAATGGATTTATAAACCATATATTTTTTCTAAAGTAAAATTTAAAACATTTATTTGAAAAAAATGTATTGTCTATTTATTATAAATTTTTAATAACTAAAATAATTTTAAATAATAAATTAATAAACTAATTATGTTTAATCTAAAATATTAGTTTTTAATTAAATATATATATATATGTATTTATGTTAACCTTAAACAGTTAAAAAAATATATGATTTTATGTATAGTTGAAAATTTATTATTTTTAATACTATAAAATATACAAAAAATAATTAAGACCTATACACACAATATTTAATACTTTCAAATTTAAAAATAAATAAATAAATAAAATTTTAACACATATTAGCTAACTTAGTAACCCACCCCCTCCCCTCTAGACTCAAAAAAAACATGCTAAACCCTGGTTAGTATATATATATACGGTATATCATAGTTAGTATATTGACTAATATATTATAAATTTAATTTATAAACCCATGTTTTTATGTAATAATAAATTAAAATTTGTTGTAAAATTTCATAATTTTCATTTTTTGTAAGTTAACTAATTATGTTTTACTAATTAATTAAAAATAAATGTCATATTTAAAGTTAATATAATAAACTACTAATTTTAATCAAATCGTTACATAGAGTAAGAGAGAGAGAGAGAGATATTTACTTAAAAAAATATATAATTAAATATTTTACTTTTTAATTACATATATATTAAAAAAAAAATCTACTCATATTGATATATTATATAATAATATTATTAATAATATGTAATAATCATTACCTAATCATATATTACGTATATATTATATACTGTATATCCATATGGGGACACAATTTGTGTAAATATTTGATATAAAAGTATTAAATAGCAGATAAATTACAGATTTTTTTTTTTAAAAAGAAAAAATGTCTAATAATTTACTGATATTATTGTCCGTAAATGTATTGTTGGTGTTGTTGTTGTTGTCGGGAACCGGTATGTGTGAAATAATTATCAATGAAGACGTGGACAATGAGATCGACAATTTGATTGCCGATAACGACCGGATGGCTCTACCCTATAGACGACTACCCGAAACAAAAGATATTTTAAATTTTGAAATATGCAAGTAATGGCATATAATTTATATATATATTTCATATATACAGTAATATAATATATACAGTATATATATATATATTGATATATAAGATTAAATTTGTTATGTTTATAAAATGTAATAAAAAAATTTTTTACCCCACCCTATACACCCCCAGATTTTTTTATTAAATAGATTTTTTTTTGTCAATTCACTACATCCTCTCCACCACCCCCACCCACCCACCCCCCTGAAAGAGATATTAAGGAAGTTATATTATATAAGTATATAATTAAATCTATACTTATTTACTAATCATATATATATATATATATATATAAATATAAGTTAAAGTCTATTATTATTAGTATTATTATAATTAGTATTATTATAATTAGTATTATTATAATTAGTATTATTATAATTAGTATTATTATAATTAGTATTATTATAATTAGTATTATTATAATTAGTATTATTATAATTAGTATTATTATAATTGAATGAAATCTAAACACACTTAAAAAAATATTACAATTTTTTTTAAATTTTTTTTTAAATAAACAAAAAAAGAGTTTTCTATCAGAAAGAGCTAAAAATTGCCGATTATTTGACCCATAAATTCCATTATAACCGACACTTGCGTGTAATCGCTGCCAATATATCCTTAACTCGGATGCGATTGTGGAGTAAATACTGTGATTATGATAAAGATTTTTTGATGAATATATTCAGATCAGCGAATCGATTGTTAGGCGAAACCAGAAAATATACAGAATATGCCTTCAAAGCCATGCAATCAGTCTATCGTCCAAATTCTGGTATTACTGTATCGCATATTATGTGGTAAGTGTTATATAGAGAGACAGAGAGACAGAGAGACAGAGAGACAGAGAGACAGAGAGACAGAGAGACAGAGAGACAGAGAGACAGAGAGACAGAGAGACAGAGAGACAGAGAGACAGAGAGACAGAGAGACAGAGAGACAGAGAGACAGAGAGACAGAGAGACAGAGAGACAGAGAGACAGAGAGACAGAGAGACAGAGAGACAGAGAGACAGAGAGACAGAGAGACAGAGAGACAGAGAGACAGAGAGACAGAGAGACAGAGAGACAGAGAGACAGAGAGACAGAGAGACAGAGAGACAGAGAGACAGAGAGACAGAGAGACAGAGAGACAGAGAGACTCTCTCTCTCACTCTTTCCTAACAATTATCTTAAATAAGAAAATAGAAAAATTAGCCTAAAATTTACACAAAAAAAAACTAAAATTAATTATTTATTTATTTTTCACCCAAAAAAAAAGTATTTCAAATAACTATTACGAAAAGTTTGCCAATTCGTTCAACAATTCGGCATTTCGTCGGATATCTGCCGAAACACTTGAAGTCTTTGCCGACGCTTGGATGCCATACCTGAAGGTATCGTTGAATATCAAGAATAAGATGATTACCAGTGATTGTAATTCATTGAACACTACCTACGATCCGACGGCGGCCAGACATCGGGTGTCCAAACAAATGGCATTATTTGACGCATTGAATGTATTAATTAAAGTTTGAATTAAATAATTAAATTAAATAATAATATTTTATTTACTAATAGAATATATGATAATTTTTGATTTTTATATAATATTAAAATTATGTAGTATTTTTTAAATTAATTAATTAATAAATTATTAAAAATTGTAAAACTTTTTCTATTTATATATATATATATAATTTTACTCAAATGTTTGACTAAAAAAACAAAAACATAATTTAATTAATTATTATTATTATTATAATAAAACTTTATTAATTAATTAAATAATTAAATTAAATAATAATATTTTATTTACTAATAGAATATATGATAATTTTTGATTTTTATATAATATTAAAATTATGAACTATTTTTTAAATTAATTAATTAATAAATTACTAAAAATTGTAAAACTTTTTCTATTTATATATATATATATATATAATTTTACTCAAATGTTTGACTAAAAAAACAAAAACATAATTTAATTAATTATTATTATTATTACAATAAAACTTTATTAATTAATTAAATAATTTTAATAATAATATTTGTTATTTACTAATAGAATATATAATAATTTTGATTTTTTTATATTATAATATTAAAAATTAGTAATAATTTTTAAAATTAAAATTAATAAATTACTAAAAAATTGTAAAATTTTTCTATATATATATATATATAATTTTACTCAAATGTTTGACTAAAATAATAAAAACATTATTATTATTATTACAATAAAACTTTATTAATTAATTAAATAATTTTAAAAATAATATTTGTTATTTACTAATAGAATATATGATAATTTTTATATTATAATATTAAAATTATGCACTAATTTTTTAAAAATTAAAATTAATAAATTACTAAAATTTGTAAAACTTTTCTATTCATATATATATAATTTTACTCAAATAATATGTTTGACTAAAAAAACGAAAACATAATTTAATTAAATAATTTTAATAATATTTTATTTACTAATTAGAATATATGATAATTTTTGATTTTTTATATTATAATATTAAAAATTATCTACTATTTTTTAAAATTACAATTAAAATTAATAAATTACTAAAAATTGTAAACTTTTCTATTTATATATATATATATATATATATATATATAATTTTACTCAAATAATAAGTTTGACTAAAAAAACAAAAAACATAATTTAATTAATTAATTAATTAATTATTATTAATATTGATAAAAACTTCATTAAATAAATAAATAATTAAATAATTTGTTTGTCATTTAAAACACAACCCATTCTGTATCGGTCGCACCCGATATGCGCCCGATAGTTACCGCCGGGTATATAGAGTAATGCCCGTACAAATTGTTGGCCACCGGTAGTCAGTGATGAAAACTGTTGGCCACCACCACCATTACCACCATTGCCGTCATCATCAGCATCAGTGCCATCGTTGTTGTTGTCATCGGAAGTCCAGTTGTGGACCAGTTGTATGATTTGTTGCTCCAATTGTTTAATCGTTTCGACAACAATAGTCTGTGCCGTCTGTATTGAACATTTCAGGTCAACGGCAGTCGTGGCCACAGTGTTGTACATTTGGCCCATAGCTGCCTTACAATCAGCATCGGGTGCCGATGATAGTGAACAGGTGCTGCCGGTGCTGGTAGTAGTAGTCGTAGTAGTAGTCGTGGACATAGCTATACTAACTGCTAGTAACTCTTTTTCAAACGAAAATATATCGTTTACATAAATACAGTAATCGTTAATCAGGTCTAACAGCCGTATCAATTGTGGATTAGACCAACTGGGCTCCGGTACTTCACTGGCTGTTCCATAGATAATACCCAATAATACCGGTTTTAGGCCAGCGGTTATCCGGCGTATCTATATTGATATTATTGTTATTATTATGTGGCAATAAATACGATATAATAAATAACTTATAAGACACACACATACATATATACACACACAGATATAAACACAAGATATACACACACACATACATACATACATACATATATACACACACATACATACATACATATATATATACACACACATATATACATACATATATATACACACACACACATACATACATACATATATATATACACACACATACATACATACATATATATATATTCACACAGATATACACACACAGATATACACACACATGCACACACACGGCATACCCATACCCGTAAATTTTTGTCTAACTGTCCAAACCGACCGTTTTTGTTAGTAATTTCAGTTTCCTTAACATTTGCGTCGGCAAACTCTAGTCTCCAGCGGACAAATTGCTGCCACTGTTTGTCATTCAGTTGCCGATAATAATCCTGAAATGTTGGTATAATTTGCCGAATAAATGGCTCCATTTGGTCGACAGTGGTTTCGACAGATGGTTGGCCATCACCACAACCACCACTGGCCACTGCAAACACACTGGTCAGCTGTGACCAAACCCGCCGGCATTTATCCATTTGCTGACAGTTATACTGACCCCACGGCTCTTCGGTATTGTCGTCCATCAGAAACATAAATATAAAGTCTTGCATCAAATGATAATATCTGTCAGCAGAGGTAACCGTCGGATAGAAGTAGGCTATCATTATTGTCGACACTTTCAGTATTTTATTATAATTTTTGCCGGACATCTGACTGGTCGGGAACTGTCTGTACAACCAGTCGGTCAGTGTCTCGGTGTCGACAGTTATATCCAATGGATTTCGTTTGAATGGCAATTGTGTTGTAAACTTCGGTATCGGATATTTCACTGGATATTGTCGTAACTGTTTATCGCATCGATTGTGTGCAACATATCTTATATTATTATTATTATTATTATTATTAATAGTATTAGTTATCATTATTTTTATTATTAATAATAATAAATTTATAACAATTACTTTACAAACTAATTAATTTTTTTCTCGTCTATTAAATTAATTTGGAATTTATATCAAAAAAAAACGTTTAATATTAATAATAAGAAATAATTTTTATTAAATAAAAATTTAATTAAAAATAATGGAAAATACAAAGTATTTATTATTATTAATATTATATTAAATTGTGATAGTTTTTAAAGACATTACTAACTATTACTAAATTTATAACTTTATAAATTATAAAATATTATATTATTTATTATAAAAATATGGTTTTAAACTCTCTCTCTCTCTCTCTTTATTTATTTAATTTTCAAAATTTTTTAATTTAAATATGTTTATCTATTAATAATTTTTTTTGAATTAAATTTTGATTTAGTAATATTATAATTTTATTTTTTTAAAATCAATAAACCTGATTAAATTATTTTTATTATTATTAGCTTAAATTTTTTTTTTAAAAGTAATTAATTATAATCTTAAACTATATTTATTTTATAAATTTATTTTACAAGTTATTAAACGATCAATTAATAGTTACAAAAACCCGTTACAAAATAATATTTTATTTTTTAATTAATTATTTATTTTTTCTACAAATGCCAACTCATTTTCAACTAAAAATTTTTTTTTAAATCTGTTTTTTTCAAGTAATTAACAAAAATTAATTACATAATTGAAAATGTTTTTACAAAAGTAAGACATTGTTATTATTATTATTATTAATTGATCTTAACTTTTAAATTCTATTAATTTATTAATTTGTATTATACTTAAAATAAAAAAAAATTATTTATATTAGATTTAATTTTTTTTTTGTAAAAAATTTATTAATATATTTGTATTATTTCTATAGTCCTTTAGTTCTATACATATATACTATATATTTCTAGAAAACAATATTTAAGATTTAAATAACTTTTAAAAATAAATAACTATTTATGAATAAATGTTGTTTATTTTGTTGAACTAATTAATTAATTAATAAAATTTAAATAAAATTCTAGTAATCATTATTAATTTTTTTTACATTTTATATGTTTGTCAATAACATTAGCGATTCCGATCTATGGATGACAATAATTGTGTCAATTTTTGTGTTTTATATAATGTATTTCTATATAAATTTATACAATTATCCACCAGGTCCATTTCCATTACCATTGTTAGGAAATGTTTTAAGTAAGTATTATTTTTTATATAAAAAATAATTACTGTTAGTTAATAGTAAACAACAAATTATTACACATACACATACACATACACATACACATACACATACACATACACATACACATACACATACACATACACATACACATACACATACACATACACATACACATACACATACACATACACATACACATACACATACACATACACATACACATACACATACACATACACATACACATACACATACACATACAATTATTATTATATATATATATATAAATTTATATCACATTTTTTCCACAACAACACTAAATGAAAAAAAAACATTTTTCTAATAAAAATTTCAATAGTGTTTCGTAATTATAAAAAACACTGGAATCTAGAGATAACAAAACTATACAAAATATACGGTCCGGTTATTACCGTATGGATCGGTCCGAAACCGTTTGTCTTTATCGGTAGTGTAGAGGTCAGGGATGTATTCAATAAAAGTGAACTATGTGGACGACCATCATCTCAATTGGGTTTTATTTTACTTTATTTTTGTTATTATTATTATTAATTATTAATTATTAATTATAACTTATAAATAATTTTTTTTATAGGTAGTATATTTTGCAATGATAAACATCAAGATATTGCATTCAATGATTACGGTAGATGTTGGGAAAGCCTACGTAAGGTATCGCATGCAACCATTAGGTAAAATTAGGGTAGGGTAGGGTGGTTTACCCCCCCCCTCCACCCCTATCCCACTAGCCTTAGAGCCTTACTTGTTGGCTATTGAATTTAATTGATATTTTTATCTAAATAAAACTTTATTATTTTTATTTAATTTTTTTAAATATATGTAACTAAAAATAATAAGCTAAAACATGATTATAAACTAACTATTTGTTCAATAAAATAATATTTAATAATTATGTTATAGATATACAAACAACAACAACAATATTTAAAAGATAATTAATATTATAGTATAAACATTAATATTTTTTTTAATTAATAAAAATTTATTTTTTTAAATATTACAGAATTTTCTTACATTTAAATGGGAATATTTGAGAATTTAGTGAAATTTTTTCTTGACCCTTGACCCCCACCCCTTTCCCCTAGAATTTTTTAGTAGTTTAAAAAAACGTAGTGCTCCCCACCCCTAGATATATCAAAACCTGAAAACTCCCCGCCCCTCCCCCCCATTAAAATAATTTTAAACTTTTGGCTTAATATACAAAATAATATTTTAGTTTTTTAAAAATTTAATTTATGTTTTATTATAATTTTTTGTAAATTTTTTTTTAAAGAAAATTTGCCCGAACCAATCAATTGGAACAGTTATGCGACCAATTTGTTACTAATACTATTGATCTGATTAAGGAAAGGGAGGGATTGGATAAGCCGTTTGATCCGCGTATCTATATTTATAATTTGTTGGCAAATATAATTGGTGCCACAATTTTCAGTGAAAAGTAATTATTTTATTTTTATTTAACTGTATATAATTGTTTATACAGTATGTGTATATATATAAATATTTTTTGTTAAAATTGTCTAAAAAAATCCAACCTTATACCCTACTCCCAACCCTAACTAAAATAATTTTAAACTTTTAGCTTTAAATTCTAATATACAATAATATTTATTTTTTTTAAAAATTAATTTAGATTTTTAATATACAGTATAACTTTATTTAACTTTAATATATAATAATTATTATTAATTATCTATTATCTATTATTATTAAATATCTATTATTATTAAATATCTATTATTATTATTAATTATCTATTATTATTGATTATCTATTATTATTAATTATTATTTTTTTTGATTGTATTTTATTAGTTTTAATATAGAAGATAGCGAATTGAAAAAATTTAAATATTGTACAACAGATTTCAACAATGAATTGGGAATTAATTTATATTTATATGAATTTATACCATCAATGCGTTTACTAATGAAAAATCCATTAGTAAAATATGAAAACTATTTCAAAGATATTATGTTTTACGCAAAATCAATATACAAATCACATCTAATGAGTTATGATCAGCAAATTAGACGCGATTTTTGCGATATACTAATCGGTGCCAAACACGAAGCTATTGCCGATGATAAGCAAACGGCACCGTATTTTACAGATAATAATCTATCGACGGCTATGATTCAGATATTTTTAGGTAAAACAAAAAATTAATTAAATTATTATTGTTTTTTGTTTGATAGTTATTTGATTTGATTTTATATTGTAATGATTAGTTAGATTATGTTGAGTTTTACCAAACATCTAGAAATGGTATCAAATTTTTAAAAAAAAAAAAGTTGTAAATAGATTAAACAAATTTGATAAAAACTTTTTTTTTGATTTTAATGTAAAAACTTTTACAAAAACAGTTTCCTAAAAAAAAATATTAGAGCAGAAACTAATTTTTAATAAGTATTTAAATCTGATTAATGTTTTTTTTATTATTAGTAATTTATATATTTTTATAAATAATTATATATTTTTTTTATAAATAATTATTTATTTTTTTATAAATAATTATATATTTTTTATAAATAGTTATATATTTTTTTATAAATAATTTTATATTTTAATTTTAAAAATAATTTCATAATCAATGTATTCATAAATTTTAAACCTGTAATTAATAGTAAAAATATGACATAAATGTAAATTTTTGATTTTGATTTTCATGACAAGTACATGAATAAAAGTTATTATTATTATTATTAATATATATTTTTAAAAATTTTAATCCAAAAAAAAACTAGCGGCCACTGAAACATCGGCTACAACCTGTCAATGGATGATATTATTTATGGCATATTATCCTGAATTACTTGAAAAACTTAGACATGAAATCAATGATAAATTAGGAAATAAATTACCAGTAATTTCTGATAAAATTAAACTCAATTATACGATGGCTTATGTATACGAAATGTTAAGATTTAGAAATCCAGTTCCGATGGGAATCTTCCATAAGGCTATGGTTGACACAAAAATTGGTAATAATTTTATTTTAAAAAAACAAAATTTAAATTATATTTTTGTTTTAACACTACATTAGATTTTATTTAATAAACTACTATTACTGTATATAAGGTATAAATTATATATCATACAGTATATTGTATATATAATTTAGACTATTATAATAATAATAATAATAATAAGTTTACAATATGTTTCAACATTGTTTATATAATATAATAAATTTTTCATTTATAATAAATTTTTAATATTTAAATCATATATATAAATTATTATATATTATATAAATTATATAAATTATATATATTAAAGTTGTCAATTTACTGACATTATATATATATATACTGTATATATATATATATATATATATATATATACAGTATATATATATAATGTCAGTAAATTGACAACTTTAATATATATATATATACTGTATATTCTGTATATATATATATATATATTTATTTAAAATTATTAAAAATTTATTTTAAGCTAAAAATATTATATAACATACATATTAGATAACTGTTTGTTTATTTACAATAACTATTGTATTTATTTTAATTTAATTAATGAAAAAACTAGATAATGGTTTGACAATACCTGTGAATACATCAGTAGTTTTACATCAATACTGTATATTAATGGACGAAAAGTATTGGTCTGAACCAAACCGTTTCAGACCCGAAAGGTTTCTCAATGATGACGGACTACTTGTAAACATTAAACCCAATTCATTCATACCGTTCAGCTATGGACGTCGTGTCTGTCCCGGCGAAGATCTGGCCATCAATGATATGTTTTTGATTTTAGTCAGATTTATACAATTGACTAACGATTATGATATTGTTTTATGCAATGATAGGCCAACTGATGATGACTTAGAGCCCAATAGGGAAACACTTGTCCTACAGAGTCCTAAATCGTTTGATATTATGTTTAAAACCAGAAAACATATATAATATTTAGTTATTATATATTCACATATTATATTCAGTTATTATATACAGTATATTCATATAATATTTATAGTGATTTTTAGTAACTTTAAAAAATGCTATATAATAATAGATTTTAATTTATTGTTGTTTTAATAATTTTTAATAACTAAATGTAGACTAGATTTGTTATTAACATATAATTTTTTATTGTTTGTATAGTATCTATAACTTTATCCTTAAAAATAAGTTATCTATATATTCAAAAATGTTATAAAATATAAATATAAACTAATAATTTATAATAATTGATAATATAATATAATGATTTCTACTTTTTTTTAAAGATTAGTATTAAATATATTTGTATTTTATGAAAAAAAACAGTTGTATTTTTAAAAAAATAATTATTGTAATTATTTAAAAACTTAGTAGAGTTGTTAAAAAAAATTTTATTATTAATTTTATATAATACATACTTGTACATAATTTTACAAACATATTATTTTATTGATAATAAAACCTATTGTTAAAATAAATACTGTATATGATATATAAATAGACAATTTATTATATATTTTAACACCACATAGATTATCAAATAGTCAGATGATTGATATACCTATTTATATATATATATTTAACTACCGGTGCTATTAATTTCAATATACAGTATAGAATAATTGTATAATAATTATTTCATAGATTAAATATGCCTTAAGATATTGAAAATATATTGTAATGTTAATTACAGTACTATCATACTGTATTGATGCCAATTGCCAAAACATAACTGTCCACATATATTGTTTTTTTTATAATAAATAAAAGTATCTTGATCAATTGATCAAGTTTTTTTTCGTGTAGACTTTTATAGTTTGCTAAATAACTTATACAATATTTCAATGGTATATAATTTGT